CGCTTCGTTGTGTTTTCCACCAGGCTGCCACGCGGGCCAAGAGGTGGACTAAGATCCAATGTCCTCGCTACGACGCTACGATACACGCTGTGTGTGTTCGGACTGCGGTGTGTGTTTGGACTGTGGTCCTCGCGTCGTCGTGTTTTTCACCAGGCTGCCACGCGGGCCAAGAGGTGGACTAAGATCCAATGTCCTCGCTACGATGCTACGATACACGCTGTGTGTGTTCGGACTGCGGTGTGTGTTCGGACTGTGGTCCTCGCTTCGTCGTGTTTTCCACCAGGCTGCCACGCGGGCCAAGAGGTGGACTAAGAACCAAGGTCCTCGCTACGATACGGCTAAGTTCGTAGAAATGGGAGGCGGGGTTCTGGTTAGTGAAGAGAAAATCTTGAACTGCTCGAACGTCGCATAGGGCAGGCTCACATCTCGACAAGCGACGATCATCTGGGGATCAAAACGAGCGGGAACATTCAAGTAGTGTTCTCATATTTAGGCATCGGGTTGATTGTTTCGTGACTTTAAATAGCGTTTTGTTGCTCAGAGATAATACAAACGTTCGCTAGCACGCGTACAAGCTGCCTAGGGGCGTCAAAATTGCTTCAAAACGATTTCCCCTTAATGAAAGTGGGGCCCGCAGTAGCAGCGTCCGCTACCAAGGCGCCCATAACCTCCAACCACATCCCTTTTATTTTTTCATGCGAAACGTTATTTTAATTTCAGTGAATACGCATCCTAGGTAGGCGTTAATGCTAAGAAATGCGAGGCGAGTGCATAAATCGTTCCAAATGCCCGATAAACAGCAGAAAAGAAGTCAAAATTCAAGCTTCCCGCGAGAATGATCCCCAGATGGAAGGGAACGTTGTTGGTCCCATCACCGCTAGTGACTCGCAGAAGCCGTTGTGAGCCTGCCCTATTCCCAGCGTGCAGACCGTCCAGTGCGCCTTCCTCTTCCCACTTATGCAGCCCCTAAACGGGTCCACTGCTTCCTGGCGGCGGCCCTGCTTGCTCGTTCCGAAACATGCGGCGCGTCGTCGCTCTGCCTCTCTCGCACTCAAGAGGCGTCCTAGGGGTGGGAGAGAGACGGAGCGACAAAGCGCTGTCCGGAATGAGAGGCAAACCGCGCCCTTCTTGTTGTTGCTCCGGACGCTGGACGCGCGTGACGCAAAACGGGCTGTTCTGAATGTGTCGCGGGGGCGGCGCGGCGCGGGGCGCATCAAGTATGCATGGACATGCGGGGACATGCGGGGACATGCCCCCGTGCGACCCGCAGTCTAATCTCTCCCCATCTCTCTCCATCTCATTGTCGCCGTCCGACGTCACGCTTCTGAGACCACTTCCCGCTTCGCCGCGTGAAAGCCGAAAAAAGAGCGCGAAAAAAAAATCTCACCTGCACTGAGGAGCTCTGGATTCATGCTTAAAGTTTTGGATGAGGAAGGTTCCATTCAGGCGCGAAGGGTACTTCACTTGAGTCGGGTAAGTTTTTGTCCTCCAAATTTGCGCGATATTTGGTTTATTATAACCAGGCTGCGCTTACACGTTGTCGTCGCTTGGCTTTGGATGAAACCATTAATGAACCACACTGAAAACTCAAGTGTGTGCTGACTGATGTGTACTGAGTACACACGCTAAAATTGTCCTCGCCAAAATTTGGGTGATGAAGCACGTTCGTCAAAATACTGACGTCCAGACCGAGACTATCTCGTTCTTAACGTCGAGTCGAACAATTTCCGGTAAAAAGTCATGTTTTTGCTGCTTTTAAGACCTTGGCGCGCAGGGCAACGGGGCCTATTTTTGAGAGCCCGCACCACCACGGCCCACCACGGCCCACCACGGCCCACCACGGCCCACCACGGCCCAGCCCGCCATCACGCATCCGGGTGAAATGGCTAATCGGCGCGGTCGTAAAGATGGCCAAACTGACCTCCAAATGGCCGTCAGTGAGTTAGGAAGCCCCCGGCAGACCGTACGTAAATCGTGCCGTATGCCTCGGCCAGGCCGTGGCCAGGCCGTGGCAGCCATGGCGGCGCATGGCGGCGGTGGTGCGTCGTCTGCGGGTGGCTACGAGTCACCACACTGCGACGGCGAGGACGGCAAGGACACGCGGCACGCGCGTGCTTCGCAGTGCACGCCCCATCGGCACACGCGGAGGAGGTGCCTGGAGGGTAGGCAAAAAGTCACACATTGCCCCTGTAAGTAGGCAGCTTTTGCCTCCTCCCCCCCCCCCCCCCCCCCCCCGCCCGTCTCTGGATCCACCAAGGCACGGCTCGCAGCGGCACGCCCTGCACGGCCCTACACTGTGAAACCAAACGTGGACAACTCCACACTTCCTGGTGTGGAGTAGGTCTCCACACTTGGAAGTGCAGAGTTTGCAGCCTCCACACTTCAAGTGTGGAGTAGCTCACATGGCCCCTATCTCTTAGCATGGTGGTGCAAACGTGGACAACTCCACGTTTGAAGTGTGGAGACTGCAAACTCTGCACTTCCAAGTGTGGAGACTGAAAATTCCAGTCCTCTGCATTTCAAATGTGGAGTTGTCCACGTTTGGTTTTACAGTGTAGCCACGGCCAGGCCGGCGGGGTCGTCGACTGGACCCATCTCCCGCAACAAGGTGTGTGTCAATTCAATTGGCACGTCCGGGTCTTGCAGACTGATTCCGAGAGTAGTTGTTTTCGTCGCCCTGTCTCTCTCGCACTTCTGGGCCGTCTCGGACAGGTGTGAGAGAGACAGGGCGACGAATGCGACACCCGGAACCAGCCTGCAGCAGCCACCGTGCCACCAGCACCTCAGCGCACCTCAGGGAAGCCGGGCAGGCCGGCTGCCCGCAGACTGATTCCCACACGGTATAAACGATTCCTGGTTTTCCCAGGAACTCCCTGGAAATCGCCTATGCCTTCACCATTGGCTTCCTGGGAAAACCAGGTTCCGTTTTTACCGTGCACAGTCGTTTCCGCCGCTCTGTCCCTCTCGCTTCAGCAGGGGACGACCCAGGAGTCTGAGAGAGACACAAGCGTTGTTCGAAATCACTCTGCTGCTACCGGCATCAAAAGTTTTTCATGGCCGCCGCCGTCGGCGGGGCCAGGCCGTGCCGCGGGTTGCCTATCCTCCGCCCGGCCGCCAGGCAGGCAGGCAGGGCTGGCGGGCAGCGCTGGCGAGGGCATGGCGTTGACAGCTGCCAGCCCGTCTGTCCGGCAGGGCCGGCAGGGCGGGCAGGGTCATTAGCGAGGGAAAGATGGACTGTTATGGCTCGGCGGGGCAGGCGGGGCACTCGGCGTGTGTGACCACACTGCGGCGCCCGGCCAGCCCGGCCAGCCCGGCCGCCAATGCAGGCGCGGACGCGGAGCCAGGATGCCTCCAAGGAGGGGGTGACGGAGGGCCTTAGTTGCCCACTTTCAGGGGCAGAGTAGAGATTTCTCCTACCATTCAGGCGGTCTACCTTGTACTAGCCAAACAGGAAAAAGGCATCCCCGCTACACCCCATAGATCTGCACCTGCGCCACTGCGGTCGTACCTCGGTCGGGGTTTGTAACTGCTTCTCCTTGAGCACTAGATTAGGCTGCCTGGAAGGCAGGTACAGCCTGCCTGTAGAAATGGAGCTCTTGCCATCGCCCCCTCCACGGATAAATCCGCCCCTGCAAGTTTAAATCCGCCCGCCAGGCAGCCCGCGCATCCTTTTCTGTCAGTCTATCTGTCTGTCTGCCTGCCTGTCTGTCTGTCTGTCGGGGGCCGGGTAATTTCGGTCCGGCGGGGTGACTTTGGACCGCAGGACGAGGAAAAAATGCGCCCATAGCGACGACCTTCGCTTCCCCGGGGCAGTAATTCTGAACACGTGCGGAAATCGCCATCATCCCTTTTGACCTTCCACTGTTTTTTTGGTGAAAAAAAGAAGTAGACGAAAGAAACCTGTTCGGAAAAAAGTCCTGGGGGACCGCCACGTGGAGAGAATCTGCAGCAGCCGTATCGGTGGAGGGACTTGGTTTTGAGCGACGTGAATCCAAGCAGAGGAGGGGCCGTCGCCTGCAAAGTAGGCAACCAGTTGCACTTTTCCCTGCAGGTAGGCAACTTTCGCGACTTTGCCTCCCGCCACCTTGGACCCGGCTGCCCTTCTTCGAGCGTCCGTTCGGGGACCACGACGGGAAGCCGCGAGAGCCCACGAGCCCTGGTCGTTAGAGCTAGTGGGGGAAGGATGGAGCGTCATTGTCTACGCCTGCAGCAGCCCGCTTCATCCTCCCTCCCCTGCAAGACGATCACCCCTCGAGGGGCTTGATGCGGCGCGGGTGTCGGGCACGACCTGCAGTGCAGACTGATTCCGAGAGTCGTCGCTCTGTCTCTCTCGCACTCGCGGAGCGTCCCGTACCGGTGTGAGAGAGACAGAGCGGCGAAAACGACCCTCGGAATCAGTCTCCTGCGGGCAACAGGCAGGCGGCGGTGTCCCGTGCGCGGTGTCGCGTCGCGAGGAGGCGACCAACGACACGGCGGTCATGTCGCCGCAGTGAAATCGGCTGCGGATTCGCCGTCGCCCCGCGCTGCAGACTGATGCCGACAGTTGTCGCTCTGTCTCTCTCGCACCCATAGGGGCCGCCGATGCGTGCGAGAGAGACAGAGCGACGACTGTCGGAATCAGTCTGCAGCAGGCGCGCCCCGCCGCGCCGCCTCCGCCGTGCCGCCCCCGCCCCTCTGCCGGGGGTGAGTCGGGGCGAGTCGTTGGAGGGGATGCCGCCCCCACCGCGCCCCGCCGGCCCGCCGGCCCGCCCCTCGCAGCCAATAAATAGGCGTGCGTGTGGGCGCGAGCCCTCTATGTGACGCCGGCTTTGCGAGCGAGCTACTGGACCTGCTCCTCCTGGACATCCGCCCCGGCCTGCCCGACCGACTCCAGCCCAGCCCGTCCTCCAGCCGCCGCCGTCCACCCAGCACCAAGCCGCGCCGAGCCGCACCGAGCCGCACCGAGCCGCACCGAGCCGCACCGAGCCGCACCGAGCCGCACCGAGCCGCACCGAGCCGCACCGAGCCGCACCGAGCCGCACCGAGCCGCACCGAGCCGCACCAAGCCCACCCAGAGGTGAGGGGCAACCGTCAGCGGGTTGCGGCAGGTCGCCTGTCGCTGCGGCCTCCCGGCGCAAGGAAAAGTTTCAATTTTTCTAAAAATAACAGGAAAAGTGGCGATACACATCGGCAACCCGTCCCGTAAATTTTAAATTTCACGAATTTCACCTACGTTCAACCCTGACGAAATTTTAACCTGAGTCTGGGTCAAAATTAGTGTTATTTTCGTCATTGGCCAGCAACCTCATTAAAACAATGCAAAACTTGAATTTAAAAAAGTGGTCGTGATTTATACCCCTCCGGGATTTGAACCCGGGTCCAAACTTCTCCGATCCGCTCGAAGCTAGCACCGTTGGTTTTGTCTTGTCGTCCCGATTCCAAAGAATACCCCTACTTGCCCTGCTAGCTGTAACCGTTGGCGATATCCTCCTCGACCCGATGTAGACCGTGATGCACCTGCAGAGCGCCCCGGAGCCCAAAATGAGCGTGAGTAGTGGAGAGACATTTTGACGAGTCTGCGCGTAACAGAGGACATGTGGCCCTAGACCGTCTTGCCCACTTTTGCCGCGCTTTTCGTCAACTCCTTCGGATGGCGGTCCCGTCGACGGATGCATCCTCAAGGACCCAGGCGTCCCGAGGCGTCCTAGTCGGTGCGTTCTCAAAAAAGTTAAACCCAGCTAGCTGAAAATTCGTTGTGTTTCTTGGTGTGCATTGTTGAATCGATCGTGAAAGAACTCAATTAAATCTCGACCAACCCCTTTCCCGACGCGCGGAAAGCACTTGAAGGCACTGCACTACTAACATTTGATCGCTGAGACTTGGATGATGTCGCACCAGAAGAAAGTAGAAGAAAGTTCTAAAGACCGTCTGTGACTTTATTTAATTTATTCTCACCCAGAAAAGTCAAGGCAATCTCATTGATGATGATTGTTTTCCTTTCGTACCTTGTTGACGCATGTTTACCCCTTATCCAGGCTCCTTTTTTTATTCAGGTTACAGTGCGTTTAGGTTGTCGGATTTCCGGGTCCCTGAAGTGATTGGCATGCTTTTGGCCCGGGCCTCGTTCCGGGGCACGGGCATTCTTCCGGGCTCCCTCTCTCTCTCTCCTTCCGTCCGCCCCCGCGAAGCAACAGGCCGGGGTCTCTCCATCTCTCCCCCCTCCCTCTCTCTCTCTTGCTCTCGTTCCGGCTATGGCGATTGTTTGCACTCGGCACGCAGTCATCCAGGGGCGGCTCCGGCAAAGGAGCTGATTCCGAGACGAAAGTCCTCCCCCCCCCTCTCTCTCCCTCCGACGGGAAAGGGGTCTGGCCAGCTCGGCCAGTCCGGCCGGCCAGGCCAGCCGGCCCACGAACGCCCCCTTGACAACCATCTGCAAATACGCGCCCCTGCAAATAATGGTTCGGTGGGAGGGGGCGGGGGCGTACACACACTGTAAGGGCGGCCGTCGCTGCCCCGTGGCCGCGCTGCCCTGCACCACCGCCTCTCCGGCCGCCGCGCTCTCTCCATCAGTCTTTCGGATCGTCTTTCGACCCTTCGGCCCACGTCGCCCCGAATGCCAGCGGAGATTGCATGCAGACACACGACTTCGGCGCGCGGGCGGGCCTCTTAAAGTCACCCGGACCCGCCACCCCTTTCTCGCCTCGCTGCATTTAGTGGCCTGCGAAGCGGTCTTTTTCAATCTCGAATAATCGAATTGGGAAATTATTCTTTGAATAGAATGGAATTAATTAAATCGAATAGAATCGAATTAAATTGAATAGAATCTAATGGAATCTAATCAAATCAAATGGAATCGAATTAAATCGAACCTAATCTAAATTAATCGAATTGAATCTAAATGAATCTAAATGAATCGAAATTAATTGTATGGAATCGAATCAAATCGAAAGGAATCGAATCATCCTTTTTGCTGTTTTGACCCAATAATTAAGTCGATTTGAAAATTTTCCATGTGTTCCCTTTATGAATATATCGAATGTGCTCTGATTCCACTCGATCTTGTTTCGAAGTAGCTGCATATTTGCATGACCTTCACAATACAAACTTTCTTTTTTTTAAAAAAGGCAGCAATTCTTTTCCAGCGTGCTGTGACGCGGTCGACTCCTTCCCTGCAGCGACAGCGGCGCGTGTGCCGCGAGGCGTGAGGCATACATAAACAGTCTAGACGCTCGCGCTGAAATTCAAATCGCGATACCCGACCGCATTTTTAATCCCGGCATAGTGATTGGGCTGCACGCAGAAATTGAAGCAGCACTCGTCCGCGGGGGAGGATTCCCCGCGCCGGTCGGCTGTATCGAATGCATACACGTTTGCATTCGAACGTGTAGCCGTGTTTGCAGAGTTTGCCGGTGTGATCAAATAATCTTTGGCATTAAAAACCCGCCAACAATCGGTTATGATCTAAACGACCATGACTGCAAACGCCACTGGTAAAACTGAAGCTTAGTGCTGCGCTTCATTCAAACACCTGAAGAACTGACGTTGCTCTCGAAACGTACAGATAACTACGCTTCAAGGCAAGCCGCCCCCCCCCCAACGCCCCCCCCATGCCTCTAGTTATGAGGAAAGAGGCGCCTGAGTGCTTCGAGAAGGGCGCACACGCCTGACGCTAATCGCGCTGATGTTACGCCTCGGTTTTATACCAGTGGCACTCGCCGCTCCGAAAAAGCGATTGAAATAACAGCAATCGACGACAATAATCCAACTGGCTCGCGAAAACGGAAAACGGCGCGCCTTTTTGACGTTGATTGATAACGCTAATCCGCTAGTCATGCCTGGTAATCGGAGACGCTATTTGCCCGCGGCCCATTCGACACCACCGCGACGAGGAGGGGGGAGGGGGGGGGAATTAATAATAGTTTGGAAAGGCGCGGGCTCACTGATAGCGCGTTCCGATTACAGTGTCATCCAGGTGGATCACCCAGGTGCCCCGGGGGCCTCCACGTCGTCGTCGGTGTCTTCGGGGACCTGAACCGGATCCCCGGCCAGCCGAAACTCGCGCCGAAGCCGATAGGCGAGGCCGGGACAGGTAGCAACAGACCCCCCCGCCCCGGAGTCAAGGACTCCCTGGAAGTCCCCTCGCGCACGACTTATGCGAATGGGTCCGCTCTCCGGCCGCGGGGCACCGCGTCGATTCGTCTTGAGCACCTCACCTATTTTTAACGCCCAGCGCGCTGCCGCCGCGCTGCCGCCGCCCTGCCGCCGCCCTGCCGCCGTGCCCTTGAGGGCCGGGGCTTCTGTTTGTGGAAACAAAATATGGCTTTGGCCCGCTTAGCCCTCCGCCCTCGCTTTTCTTCCTCTTGAGTAGTCCAGCAGTTACGCGAGAGGTTTGTGTTTTCCGCGTCGTGCGGTGAAATTTTCGTCGAGGTGTCCGTTTTCCCGTTTTCACGCTGCTTTTCTTCATAGAGGCCTTCTCCTTTCTCCTCCGCTCTTGTTTCATCTATTTCGGAGAGGGCGCCGCGCGATACGATCCCCATTGTATTTATTTGTGTTCGGCTTTGCGCTAGAGTGACTGTCTCGCCGGGCGAGCTCCGACGCCCCGTCACTGGCCTGTCTCACACTGTCTCACGCCGTCCCTCCCTGTCTCGCACATGGCTGGCGGCGCTGGCGGCGCTGGCAGTACGCACGACGATAGGGAGCGTCTGTGCCCCGCCAGCCCTTGGACCAGCCAGCGCGCGCGGTCTGCACCCCGCCAGATAAGTCCTCGCCCCGCCCCGCCCCGCCCCGCCCCGCCCCGTGACGGGCAGTTATAGACAAGACCTCCCGCCATCTGGAGCCGAACACACGCGAAATTTCTGTCAGCAAAAACCAAACAGACAGCAAAGAACAAGAATGTTTTTTGGTATTTTTATTTGAAACCCGTGACCATGAACACGTGATCTCTCTACCCACTAATAAAACAACGGAAATTGACGTATAACCACACAGCCTGAGCCGAGGGTTGCTCTTGCTTTGTTTTTTTTTTCTCTTGCTGCACTCCGTGGCTTTTCCCGACCCGCTGAAGGCTGTTTCCTGGATATAATGTGGTCTAGCCGCATTTATACTTTTATGTCCACCCTCCCTCCCATGCACTCTTCCTTTTCTTTTTGTCGGTCTTGTTCATTTGACCATAAAACAAATGTCCGACTGGGGCATTTAACGTTTGAGTACGTGTCTCTCTCTCTCTCCCTCTCTCTATCTCTCTCTCTCTCTCTCTCTCTCTCTCTCTCTCTCTCTCTCTCTCTCTCTCTCTCTCTCTCTCTCTCTCTCTCTCTCTGGCGCTGCGCGGCGGGGTCGTGGCCTTCCCAGTCACCCCTCGTTACGCCGCTGCCGCCGCTGCCGCCGCTGCCGTCGTGCCGTCCCACGCAGCGGGCCGAGGGAGCGAGGGGCCGTCGCAGCCGCCCGGACCGGACCGCTAATTAAAACCATACAGCGGCCTGTCATGTCAGCGGACTCTCTCGCACTCACGGGGCGTCCCGTTTCGGTGCGCGAGAGACGGAGCGACGAGGGCGGACTCTCGGAATGGAGTGTGCTGCAGTGGCTCGCAGCGCGACTCCCTGTGACGGCGGAAATCAAAACTGCCGTCGAGCTTCGCTGAACGCGTTCTCGTGTCGACGTATACCCAGCGTACGGACCGTGAAAAAATAACCTCAGGAGGCCATGCGTTTGAAGAACAAGTGCTTTTGTCATGGTCCGGGGTTTCAACTTTCCTCTCCAAGACCCCCTTGACGCAGGCGAGGCGGGGCCGCGCTGGCGCTGTGCGTCGCCAGGCGACGACGGTGACCGTCTCGCCGCCGCCAATTGTAACGTCTTCCTGGCGACAAGGTCACTGCAAGGGCACTCCCGGGCGGTACGAACTGCATCGGCTCCGTCGCACGGCGTCGCGTTCATCTCGGGTCTCGGGGATCGCGAAGGCCTCCTCGGGGCGGCCAGGACGCCCTTCTTCGAGTGCGGCAAGAGGCCATTCAAGGCGGCCGCCTGCCGAGCTATTCGTCGCTCTGTCTCTCTCGCACTCATGGGGCACTCCGTGAGGGTGCGAGAGAGACAGAGCGGCACACCGATCTCCTGAACCGCTCGGCTGGCCTGCGGCGAAGGTGGGGGGCGATGCAACGGGACAGTTGTCCCCTGGATAGCCGCCCGAAAGGTAGACAAGGCAACACTTTCCCCCTGTAACTAGGCAAAAGGTGCTACTTTGTCTCGGGGCGGCTCTGGCTCCTCCACTGGCCTGGGCCAGCCCCGCGCAACAGGCAACAGGCGGCCCCGCGGCTCGGCGCCAGATGGCGTCAGCGTGGCGTCAGCCTGCCATCCGGCGGGTAGGCAACCCGGCGGCCAGCTGTGCGGCCGACGGCAGCGGCTGCCTACCCCCGACTCTGCGGGCGCTCCGGGAGCCGCGCGCCAGCCAGCAGCCAGCAGCCCACCGGCCCAGCCCAGTAGAGAGCTCAGACGGGCGGACACTTCACCGGTAAAACTGAAGCGTAGTTCTATGCTTGATTCAAGCATACAACTACGCTTGAAGACTTTACGCTTGACGTCAAGCGTAGAGAAGAAATTCTCCCATGCATTTAGATAGGCGGGAGAGGGGCAAAATGGAGAACTATGCTTGAAGCCGAGCGTAGTTCTACTACGCTTGAAGAAAGGCGTAAAACTACGCTTGAGTTCTACCAGTGTTCGGACTACATTTCTAGTTCGCTTTGGAGCCGCTAGTGGCGCCACCCGTATCAAACTGGCGGCTGGCTGACGAGAGCAGATAACAAAATAGTCCAAAACTTCTAAAACAACGGCATTCTTCGGACAGAAGTGCCTATCCGATGCGGCGACAAATTTTAGGCTGTATCATGCGATTCGTTGGTGGGCGGGCACGGTTTGGCTCTCTGAATTCGAAGTTTGTCAGCGTGGACAGCCGGACAACCCGGTGTCCGGCCCGGCCCGTCCGACACACCTCGGGCCGGGCCGGGCCGGGCTCGAAGCTGCTACGCACTCGGGCTCGCCAAAGGCGCCGTTGTCCGCCCGTCTGAGCTCTCTACAGCCCAGCTGGCAGGCAAGGCCCTGCCCGCCTTGGCGCGCCTTGGCGCCACTGGCGCCCTTCTGGGCCGACTCGTTGGCCGCTGCAGGGCTTCGCCACGCGTCGTGGCGGCCCGCTCCGATGCAGGCTCATTCCGACCCGCGGCGCTCCGTCTCTCTCGCACTCCAATGCGGACGCTCCGTGAGTGCGAGAGAGACAGAGCGACGGAAACGACTCTCGGGATCAGTCGGCGGGCCGCGACATGACGCGCACGCCTCGCACACGCCGCCACAGCCACGTCGATCGGCGGGGAGACGTGTCGCGGGGGAGAATGATGCTTTCGCGACAACGCTTATACACTTACAGTGGCGGGCCCTGCTAGCCGCTTTGCGCGCCGCCAGTCAACTTTTAATTGGCACGCCCTCGCAGCTCGCAGCGCTGGGGCGCTAATCCCGGCCGCGTGTTGGAGCAGTGCAGGCCTTGTCGCGGCAAACGCCCCGCCCCGCCCCGCCCCGGCCCGCCCCGCCCCGCCCCGCCCCGCCCCGTTATGACGTCAGCCCGGCGCTCGGAAGGCGTTCCGTTTCTTGCGCGGATCATGCAGGCGAGTGCCAAGGGCTCCAGGCGCTCCAGGGGCCGAAACGGCCGGGCAGCGCCGCACTGGACCAGTGCCATGATTGCCGGAGGGCTAAGTGAGCGGCCGAGCACCCAGCAGCCCCAGCAGCCCGTTGGAGCGTCCATTCGGCAACCTCGGTGGCAACGGAAAAAAAAGAAAAAAAAAGACTTTGGTGTGGTAATCGATTTTTTCGATCGGCGTAATTCGATAGTTGCTATCGAAAATCCCAGTACCTGCCACGATCACGACGTTGTTAACAGACACCAGACAAGTTGTCCTTGAGCGTACAAATGCCCGGTGGTGGCTTCGAGCTTTTGGTCTAGAGTACTTCCGGATTTTCGATTGCAGCTGTCGCGTTCAGCCTATCGGACAGAGTCGATTACCACAGCAATTCTCTGTCTTCCCCGTGAGGGCGGCAACGCGGCGGCGAGAGGCTCTTCGACCTTCGGACCGAGACGGCCGGCGCGGCCAAGGCGCGGCCAAGGCGCGGCGAAGCGCCACTTCCTGGTCAGTGGTCACTGTTATTGGTGTAGGTGACGCGGCGGTAAAGGGGCCATGGGGCGGGCAGGCGGCTAACCGGCTGTGCGACCACTGCACTGTCGCGAAGTGCTCTTTGAGTGGAGGCCGGGTGAAGGTTGACCCTGAAAGTTTGTACGAAAATTTTGTCGACCGAAAAGAAAAGCGTTTACAAAAAACGTGCTTACGAGGCACCCAGTCAGTCCCATGGTCAGACTTGCTCTGTAAAAATTAAATTGGGAGTTTACACAGGTACATCTGGGAAAAATGTGGCCCGCACACGAGAAGAATTTTCATAAATTTACAAATGTGGTCTTTCAGTCATTTTTTTTTCCAGGGACGTATTTTTGAAATTTATTTTGTTGGGAAAAGTCATTTTAGAAAAAGTGGTGTTGGTCGTTGCCCCGCAGATGTCTCCGCTCCTGCAGCTCGCTCTCCTGGCCGTGGTCGGCGTCCTCCTGCAGGCGGAGGCCCACTTCCCCAAGGAGCACATGTCCAACAGACTCGGCCTGCCCGGGATCCCCGAAGGTAACAACAACACTATTTCAGGGGGAAAGAAAAAATGAACCTCACTGAAAAAAAATGACTTTGTTAAGGTGGTCAACTTTGAAGAGCTCCTTTCCTTCTATCTAAATGCCACTGTAGGCTGGTTTTTTTTTTTGAAAAAGTGTCTGACTACTGTTCCTGTCCGCAGTGCACGGCGGCCGGCTGACGCTGCAGGTGTCACAGGTGGTCCCCGCCATGCAGGAGGTGCGGATGGGCGACCGGCTGGAGCTGGAGTGCGAGGCGTTCGGCGGGCCCTTCCCCACCATACAGTGGCTGCGCGACGGCCAGCCCATCGGCCAGGGCGTGGTGAGTCCGCGGTCCAAATACTCGCCCGGGCGCGGATCCAAAACGGGGGGAGGGGGGGGGGCCACTACACTGGTACCGCCAGTACACGTCTGAAGAACTTCCGTATTTTGGCAACTAATCTGTCCCTAACGTACCCCCCTTTCTCACATTTTCCGTAACAAACTACGGAGTTTTTAGCAGTGTAGATAGGCCGCCTAGGCAACAAGCTCTACTTCAACCCTGACAGTGGACAAACAGCCCTCTCCACGAGAAAAACCTGGAGCCGCGCCCGTGCTATTGAGCTGCTATTGTGTGTGCGTTTGGCGGCATATTTTTATTCCTTGTTTGCCTTCTCCGGCGTCTTTGAGGGATTTCTTTGTGCCGCTCCCCGCTTCCCCCTGTCCCGCGGTATTCACGCCGGATGCCCGTTCGAGTGTTCGTCTAGGACGAGGCCAAGTCCTTGAGCAACCTGTTGTCCGCGGAGGCCATCAACGACCTTGGCGGCCTTGGCGGCAACGTCAAGGTCACGTCCAACCTGGTGCCCGTCGACTCCATGACGGCCATCGGCAAGGTCAAGTCGCGGCTCATCATCGACTGCGTGCTGCCCGTGCACCGCGGCATGTACTCCTGCGCCGCCGTGTCCGGCACCGACGCCGACGTCTCGCCGCCCGCCACCGTCTACGTCGTGGGTGAGTCTCCGTGGCGGTCCGTGGCGCCCTCCGCCTGGGGCGCGTCAACGCTCGCTTCAACGAGCAGTGCGTTTGGATGCACACTGTTCCCAGCAACGGGACATACACGCGCACTCCAAAAACGAGCAGCACGTTCAACTTCTGTTCAGTAGTGCTGTACGCCCAACAGTGGGCGCTTGGTTGATTTTTGCGCACCTTCGGATTCCAGCACTGAAAATTTAAGTGTGTGCTGAGTAAACACGTAGAGCTCTATAACCAAGTACACACATAGAGCACGAAAGTGTGTACTGAGTGCAACTTGAGTTTTCAGAGAGCGCTTCCAACGGTACGCGATAAAGCTTCGTTTGCAACTTTGCCCGCTATTCAACTTGCCTGCGTTTGCCTGGGGGTCGTCCCTAGGCGTCTGGTGGAACGGCCCGCGTGATTCAAGGACGGCCCCCAGTCACGCTTTCTCAATCGTCGCGGCGCCTCTCTGCTGCGGGGCTTCGCCAGGCTTCAACGCCCACACTGCTCGCACCGCATCGCGCCTCCATCACTTTTGTCTGCTGGCGCACAGTGGGCCAGAAGACCGGCGGTGGCGGCAAAAATTCTAGACGCCTTTTGAGCTCCAGAGTCGTTGAGTGGGACTCGAACCGAACGTGTGACCCCATCAATAGATTGCTCTCCGAACGAGGAATCCATTGGTGGGGTCACACGTTCGATTCGAGGCCTGTTCAGTGACTCTGAAGCTCAAAACGCGTCTAGAATTTTCGCCGCCTCCGCCGGTCTTCTGGCCCACTGTGTGGCGGGGGCGAGGGACGACCGCGATGACGAGTCGGCACGTGCGGCGAATCTCTGGCGACCGACGCGGGTCGCACCAAAGCGGAATCCAAGGTCGAGCTAATGTCCATCTGGCGAACACGGCGCCAGCGGCAGCGCCAGCGGCGCCAGGACGACGCGGTGCAAGCGCGGCCCGCTAATTGTTTGTTCTCTCGGCAGGCCTCGTTTTCATTTCGAGAGACCGGTCTGTCGTTTTTGTACCCCGGAATGCACGCTACGCTGAACCCGAGAGTCGTTTCCGTCGCTCTGTCTCTCTCGCACCTACACGGGAAGCTCCATGAGTGCGAGAGAGACAGAGCGACGAGAACGACTCTCGGAATCAGTCTGCTGGTTACCACACTGTACACCCCCAAGCGCGCGTGTCAAGGGCGTGCATCCCCAGAGCGCCCTCATCAGCCGCCTCGTTCCGAAGGACCGCTTCTTCGTCGCTCTGTCTCTCTCGCACTCGTGGGCCGCTCCGTCGGGGTGCGAGCGAGACAGAGCGACGAACAGATCCTTGGAATGGGGCGGCTGGTGGTCCCGGACCGCCCGGCCATCCGCCCTCGCGCTGGACAGGGCGACTAACGAAGCCACGACACAGTCGGGGACTCGGTCGGAGACTCGGTCGGAGACGGACATCCTGCGGGCTCGTTCCGAACACTGGTTCTCTCTCACTCGCACTCGTGGGCCGTGCCGCAGGAGTGCGACAGAGACAGGGACGCAGCATTGAAGACTGATTCCGAGTGTCCTTTTCGTCGCCGTGTCTCCCTCGCACCTGAGCGGGAGAGAGAGAGAGAGAGCGACGAAAACGACTCTCGGAATCAGTCTGCTTTTCGGGGTGAGACTGCATAGCCAGAGCCAGACAGCCCGTCCAACGAGACGACGGTCTGCTCGTGGTCCGCCCACGCCGCGCCCCATGAGTGTCATCAGCCTCTTTGGCGTGATGGCCCTGTAACGATGCCCCGGGCCGCCGCGTGCCTTGGGGCGGCCCGTGAGTGCGACAGAGACAGAGCGACCCTCCGCCTGCCCCGCCCCCGCGCGGGCAAATCGGGCGGCGGGCCCTTCGCCCGAGAGACGGTCGAGGGTCTGTCTGCTGCCAAAAGAGCGTAGAAGAGTCGTTTTCGTCGCTCTGTCTCTCTCGCACCCATGCGAGACGGCCCTCCTCGTTGCAGCGGACGGCGTGCGCAACCTGTCGGCGATGCTGTCGGCCTGCCAGCACGCCGGCCTGGCCGCGCCCGCCCCGCCGCGCATCACCAGCTTCGCCACCTTCATGATGGACGTGTCTGGCACCGACATCACCCTGCCCTGCGCCGCGGAGGGCTCCCCCAGGCCCGCCGTCTTCTGGAGGGACAACAACAACCAGCTCATCGCCGCCAGCGGCCCCGGCGCGCGGCGCAACCGCTACAAGGTGAGTACTCAGCCAAGTGTGCATCTGTAGACGTGCACTTAGCCAAGTGAATCTGATTCTACTCGACTGCCCGGGGGCCCCACCAGGTCCTGCCCAACGGGTCCCTCATGATCCTCAAGGTGCGCTGGAGCGACATGGGCATGTTCACGTGCGTGGCGCAGAGCGAGACGGGGCGCGATAACGCCACCACCTTCGTGTACCCGCTGTCGCCCTCCAAGTGTGAGTACCTCCCAGGGAGAAACAGCAAGTCAAAGAACACGAAACGCTCACAGTGACGTCATTTTGATGTCAATATGACAAGTTTAAGTCAAAATTTCAACAAGAAAAGCATCACTCTGACGTCATTTTGACTTTCTTTGACTGCTTTGTGAGTGTTACGTGGTGATGGGGAAGTCAAACTGATGTCAGAAGATGACATTTTGATGTCAAAAAGTCATCTTCGGACCTCCTTTACGGCCTTTCTTGTCCTGCTGGTTCTCGTTGGTCTGGCGCAAGATCCGCTTCAAACACTCTGCCAGACATTACATCAAGTATCTTCTTTTGCAGAATCGCGGGGGTCTGCCAGAAGTTAAAAAAATAGTATGAGAAAATTTTGAGAAACAATGACTTTCTTTTAAGTAGATTACAAATCATGAGCATCAATTAAATAATGCACCATATGTAAATTATATATCTCTAAATTTAAGAACCAGTTACTTCAGACATGATTCGAATGTTACCAAATGAAGAGAAATGTGTTTGTTTCAATAGAATAAATAGTGTTTCACATTCTGGCTTAGGTTCCTTCAATCCAAAATAAAACAAAAGCACATCTATTAAATTGATGTTATTATTGTGGAAATAATGATAGATTTGGACACATTAAGACATTTATCAAAATACACAGCAGGGGTGGTGAACATGAAATAGAACTAAGACAGCTTCATAGAAGCAAAGTAAAATTAATTTTAACTCGAGAACTACTCTTGATTGATAAATAGCCCACAGAACCCAACACATTGTAATCCATATCCTGGCGTTCAAGCAAGAAAAATGTGAACCAAATGTTTTCTTAACAAATACAGAGGAATGACTGGGCTAAGACACAAACTCCAAGGATTACAGAGGAAAAAAAAAAAAAATGGAAAAAAAAGGACAGGCATCATATGTACATTATAGTGGTAAAGAAACTATATCCTATCTAGTGATTCCAGCATGATGATACTATTTCCTCGGATGACCTGCAACAAATTTAAAAAAATTAGTGACAGATTCTAGAAGATAACAGAGATTTAAAAGAGATCCGCGTGAGAAAATAAAATACCTACCACCATGCCAATATCTTTTCTAGAGCCATCTTTGCAGACTTCAACTGTTTCATCCACAACAAAGTTCATAAAGGGATCAAACCCTCTGAGAAATCCAATGACATGTCGTCCTCCATTCAGCTTCACTAAAAACATAAATTAAAAACGGAATAAGACGATTTATGTGGTGATGCCAAAAGTTGCGAAGTTTGAGAACACTTACGTGATAGCTTCTTGTCCATGTACCTGAAACAAATTAAAAAAGGGAGCTTGTTAGTGACATAACAAGTTAGTTCATGGGCCAAGACAAACTATAAGGAGACGGCCTAAACTCCTGGAAATGACGCCGGTCTGATACACCATAACCTCAAAATAGATATGGTATTGGTAGCTAGTTTAACAAGACACCTAGTGTAACCGAATATATAGGCGATGCCAGTGACAATTGGGACAAACGAAAATTCACAAATCGGGGCAATTGAAAAGAACCTCCATTAAAAACTCAAGAAAACCGGTTGAGCACGATGCAACACAATCTGCCAGTGTCGAGACGATTGCATAAACCACAAATTAGACTTACTTCTTCAATTCTGGGGGATGCGCTTTGTTACTCATGTTTGCTGAAGATGATTTCGACGACCTCGAAACACAAGAAAAGTATTCGTGCCGAAGATTTGGAAACAACAACACTTCCAAACAACGCACCGAAAACGAACGAATCAACCGCGCCGCCAAACTCGAAACCCTAACCTCTTTTGTCTGGTGGTGGGGGGTATAGTGCGTCGACCCGCTATGGGAGTGCGAAAGTTTACTATACTTTGGTGGTGGGGCAATTTTGGGGCGGAAGATTATTTGCCCTCGAAACTGTCAAAGCAAAGTGTTGAATGAATGAGGTTAAAACCTCGACTTGTTTGCTATTGTGCGTTTAAAAGGGTTGACTTGTCGGAAATAATTTTCAACAACATAAATTGTTGTCATTGGCAAAACTGGACATCATGGCAGAGATAGCTGACCTTAAAATTGGCAGTTCAGATTTCAATCCTGACAAATGTAAGTTCTGTGTACTATGTTTTTATTGTTATTTTGTGTTAATAATTGTGATTTATTTTGTATGAACCCGATCCTTTTCTTTTTATACCCTCGGTGACAAATTTACAATGAAACTTAACCATTGAGTAGTATGTGCGTAATTCAGTTGGCGTGTCCTGAGGTGAACCAATTCATTTTCACTCATCGTCCTTAAACCAACTCATTTATGTTTCTCTAGATGTACGAGAGCTCTCTCAACGATGTGTGGGTGGACAAGAGTTGCAGCAGCAGTATCAGAAGATCCAGGGACTTGGCGAGGACACTAGCGCACAATTGAAACGGAATGTGTACCAAAATTATACGCAGTTTATTGAGACGGCAAAAGAAATTTCCCGTATCCTTTTTCAGACAAAGCACTGAAAAAATCCCATTATTGGTTGCTATTAATTCAAGTCCGACTGAGATTGTCTGTTTGAAACTTAACGCATTACATTCAGATCTTGAAAGTGAAATGTATCAATTGTCACATTTACTGACTGAACAGCGATCATTGCTAGCAGCTCTAGCTAGCACATCACTTCTTGGTAGTACAAATTCTAGTGCAGCAACTGGAGCGGAAAGTACAACAGATGTCGCCACCCAGCCTGATGAGCAGCTCCAGAGGGATGAGGAAGAACGCAGGAGGAAGTTGACCGCAGCCCTAGAAAAAGTAGAAGGTTGTGTGGTATGTATTTTTCTCCCGTACAAACTTGCCACCTTTTATTTATTTGTAATCTTGGTTTTAATTTTTCTTTTTATTTAACCTTCTAGGATTTAATTGAGTCTCCAGCAAGATGTGTTCTTCATGAAGGAGATCTCTTGGAGTTAGAGCCAACTGAGGGGACAGCAATGCAGCGCATGCATGCTTTCCTCTTCAATGATGGCCTACTTTTAGCTCCTTGGATTCCAAATAGGTAAAGTTGAGCTGTACTGTTTTGTTTTAACTAGGTGTTTGTATTAAATGTTCTTTCACTCCAGGCGGGGTCCAGCTCGGTACAAATTCCAAACCTTAATCGAACTTGGTAGCTTTGCTGCTGTCAATGTCCGTGATATGGGCAGTGTAAAAACTGCATTTAAGCTCTTGGCTTTCCCTGATACTCGCCTCTTTCAATGCACAAGCAACCAAAGCAAGGTAAATCCATTCCTCTCTGATTTAGAAGATGTTCCGTTGTTTGATTTTCTGTATTTATTTGGTAAGAAATGTTTCTGTACCTTCTTTTTTTTGTCCTTCTAGAAAGAATGGCTGGAAAAATTTGAAGCTGCTAAAAAGTCTGCATTAGCTCAGGAACAGCCTAAGCGCCAAGAGTCTGTGGCAACTTCTGAAACTTCTCCCATTCGGAGTTCAAGTGTGGACTCATCTTCAGGAGCCAACCGTAAGTAGTGTTGTGCCCTTTGGCTTATGTCTATGTTCATAAGGCATGTTTTAATTTTTTTCAATCTTTCCTTTGCAGCATTTGAAGACAATGCTCCTCTTTCTCCCGAAGTACCAGAACTGCCGGAGTGGCTGTTGGAGCTCCCAGAGGACCTTGATGTTTGCATAGCTCAAAGGCACTTTGAAGATGCCTTTTCATTGCTTCAAAAGGCAAATCAATTTTCTTACCCTTTAAATAAGGATCCTCAACTTATTGAAATAAGGTATATCAATTGCATCCTAAGCTCTAGTAAATCATCATAAATGTACCTAATGAAATGAAATAATAAATTAAACTTTTGCTAGGCGTAAGGTGGAAGGGCGTGCTCGTGCATTGATAGAGGTGTTAATGAAAGAACTGGAGGTATCCCCAGACAAATCTCTCCAAGGTGGTCTGAGGGCTGCTCGACGAGCCGTTCGTTTACTCAATCAATTGGGACGATCTTCTCAGGTAATAATAACACTCAAATATGCTCAAATTAATACTAGTAATGAGGTATCAATAGGTATAGTGTTTAATGCATCTCACATTCTCATAATGATTATCATATATTTCAGGCCTGTGAGCTCTTTCTAAAGCTCTGTAGCAGTATATTGAAGGCACAGCTAAGACGTGTGAAGCGAGAAGGTGCAACAGTGGTCTATGTAAAGCATCTTGGAGGAATATTTTTTTCCAATATGATGGATATGGCTAGGGAATTTCTAAGAGCCTTTCCAAACTCTCCCAGCTGTGCATCAGGTATGACCCATTAGACAATCTATGATATTGTTTTTAACACAATTATCATTGTTATTACTACTTTAATTTTTGTGGCTATCTGCTTTATAAATTTCAGCTCTTGTTGTATGGGCTGGCTCAGAATTGACCCACCTCACCAGCCACCTGGTGAAGCAAGTTTTCATGCCTCAGTCACCTATTTCTACACTGTCTGAATGTGTTGTTTCGATTAGAGGCCAATGTGACCAAGTAAGTTCCAATCAAATCAATGTGTCTCTTCAGAAATAAAGAATTCTCATCCAATTTTTAAATTGATTTCAGCTTTGTGAGCTTGGCATTGATCTGCGGTATCAATTAGATGGATTGCTACGATCACCCCTTCAAAGGGCCTTAAATGATTCTCGTGACAAAGCTGTAGAAGCTGTGAAATTACGAGCCTCTGAGGACAAGTGGCGTCCCACAAATCTTGGTAGCAAAGATGCTTTAACAAAGTTTGTTATGGAAACCGGTTTAACACCTGGTCATATGCAAAAATATGTGCAAGGTAATTGTGTATATATTTCTACTTTGCTTTTTCTCACTGCACACTTCCTCTTCAATTTTGTTGTACACATTCTTCTACAATTCTAGGAGAGAGCTGGATTGCACTTTCTGCTAGCACTGTGGCCTTTACAAAACAATATTTGTCTCTTCTTGAAGACTGTTTAAGACTCTGTACAACAGAGCTAGCTCACACTGTTGATCAAGTTCTAACAGATGTTTATAGTGCTCAACTTTCACATTTTGAAGGAAGCCTCCAAAATGATAAGATTGGATCATCTGAAGTAAGCAAATATTTTGGTTGTAGTGAGACATGTACCTACTTCTCTTTTTAGATAAAGTTCTAATTCGTTGTTCTCTTTGCAAATTAACTAATTTTTCATTTATTTCAGAAACAATTTATCCAGAAAAATGCCGCTTTTTTACTAAATGAGCTTTTGCCTTTGGTTACTAAAACATACCAAGAGAGATTGGGTAACTCTTGCCAATCCCTTGATGCACTCAATGGCAAATTCGCATGGTTGAAACCATCGGATGGTGATGGAGATCCCTCTCCTCCAACCCCAACAAAGCGGCCTACCCCTCTGCCAAGAACCACAGCACCTCGGCCAGCCGCGACCAAGTATTCTACTGTTACTGAGTACATTTAAGTAAAATTTTATCTTGATTGTTTTATTGTATAGTTTATTCTCAAAAGATAAAGTGCTATCCTGGAATCAAACAAGGCCAAGTATACTGTTGATCTGTTTGAAAATCCCATTCAGCAACCATGTGGGAATCATTGAAGTTTAGTTTTAAATGCCTTGTTGTGTATCTGTGATTTTCATGATGAATTTGACTCATAAATATCATATGTGTTGCTCTGTTATAATGTATATATAATATATCATTTTTCTGGAATATGTATGTATCATTGTTAGCTTAAAAATAAATTTGTTGTAACATAACTTCAAACACTGCAGTTTAATACACCTTTTCCTTTGTCAGCAGAACACTTGTACATGCATTTCATCTGGACCTTACCAAATAAAGAGCACAGGGACAGGTAAATGCTCTATTTAAAACAGGGGACTTGAAAGCTTGTCTGTATCACATGTAGATATTCTGCTCCTAAAAAGTTACAGCAGTGGGAATCGTAATTAAATAACTGATTAAATTACTAGCTATGTACAAATTAAAGTTAAATCAACGGAGGGAGAAATCTTCTTTAAAAGTCATTACAACATTATTGCACACTACCACTTGCTTCATTGCTGGTAGATGATGATGGTTCATCAGGATGGTCTAATTTTTTCCTTTTCTTGGATTGTATATCTGCAAGAGTTTGCTCAATTGATCGTTGATCCTTCTTGTTGGCACTTGGAACTGTGGGCATAAAACAAAAAACAATGTAACAATTTAAGGGCTAATCAAATGGTCCAATCAAGAATGTGAATGATACTCAAGAAATTCCTTACCAAAGCCATACTGCTTATTTGTTTGAGTAACTCGAGCAGCATCAAGGGCAGCCTCTTTTCCTATGAGGTGATGATATTTCTCTTGATAATTACTTGCTGGCACTACATCTGATTTTCTCTTACGACTGGCCTCTTTCTCTTCTTGCACTTCCTTTTCTTTCTACAAGAAGAAAAAGCAAGATTTAAAAATATTGCAGAGTGGATAAAATGGAGCAAAGTTGAGATGTAAAATACACACTCTCTCAGCATCAGCCTGAGCCTTGAGGGGATCCCATTCTTCTCCCCTCCGCAAGGCAGCAAGCTCTTCATCGCAAGGTGCAAATTCCTTCTTGTACAAGGTCACTGCTCTGTCAATCTCCTCTTCGCCAAAAGAAAATGCAGCAATTCCAGCAATTTCAGCCACATCATGCCTTAGGAAATGAGCGCCAAAATGTTATATTCAAGGGTACATTAATTAAATGAACACAGTTGAAACAAAAGACAGCTTACACAATACTGCGGAATACTTTGTCCATCGGGTCAAACTTGTACTTTTGCAAGGAGTCATTTTGGATGAATTTGTTAATTTTCTCTTCAATCTACAGAGGGAATCAAGAACAGATTTTTCGTTAGAATTCAACGAGCAGGTAAGTAAAATTTATCCAAAATAATATCACTTACATCTCGTCGGAAGGCTTGTAGTCGAGCTCGATCCTCCTTTTGTTTTTTTAACATTTCTTCTTTCTGTTCTAGAATTAAAACCAAAAAATTAAGCTAGGCGCATGCACTCTGAAATCCAGCATTATGAGGTACGCTTACAAATCACAGGGCAAATTATACACAGTTAACGATTCAAAGATAAAAAAGGAGAAGAAAGATAACACTATTTATAACTGACACCTAAGTTTGGAAAAGTATTTAGATGTTGTTGATTTCCAACTGATTTCCAGGTTAGGTCTAAGGGGTTGGGAGTTGACTTACTCTTTAACAAACTGCTTTTCTGACTATTCACAGTGGGTGGCTTGTCCATAGAGTTTAGAATAGACCCAAGTAAATCCATCTTGTCAGAGGTATCTAAATCAGTTGATAACAAGCAAGAAATGGTAAACAATGGCCTCTGCTAGAGAACCGCAGTTGACAATAAATAAAAGATGCAGAGGGAGGGGGGGAGGGGAGTGCGAAAGGGAGGGGGCCATTGTGAGGCTACATTATGAGAAATCTTTGACGCATGAGAAAGAGTAATTGAAGTGGGTAAACTTGCGGAGGAAGAGTAAGGCTTCTTGGACTGAAATCTCGAGAGAGCAAGACAATACAATGAGGGTCCATGATGGAAATAGCCGTCGGGAGTGCGCCAGGCCTAGCCAGGGGCAAGGGGGCGGAACCAGGCGGAACGCCAGGGAAGTCCAGGGCGAACAGAAGGACCCAAACGCAACTCTTGAGAGGGTTCCCGGTGGGCAAAATCACCCGAAAAGGATGATCACAAAGCTCCTCTTTCATGGAAAGGTATGGACGTGGAAGGCATGGTACGTTGTGGAGGACCAGGGCGGATCCAGAGCTAAGGGCGGAAAGTAGCACTTTCTGTCTACTTCCAGAGGCAAAGTTTGGCCTTTGTCTACATTTCAGGCCGCTTTCTAGGGGCCATAGGGAACCAAAAGGCCTGTTGCCCCCTTAGATTCCGCCCCTGGTGGAAGGGCGTGGGAGTGTGACAGGGAGGGGGAGAGGGGGAGGGACAAGAGCAGCCCCGTTGCGGCGGCACTGGCGGCACTCGGCGCTAGGCTTGCTCCGTCTGCAGCCCCCATCCCCTCGCCATCCTTGTCACGCCGTCGTTCGATCACGAATGTCTCTCTCAGACATGACGTCATAACGCGGCGGTGGCCTGGAACGGCTGGAACGGGGCCACCGCGGCGATCCCGCCACCCTCGCCGTTGCTGCCGTGGCTGCCGTGGCGCGCCACCCAGGGGTCCCAGTCCCTTCCCTCCCCCCCCCCCCCCCCCGCAGGCTGCATCCGAACGACGCCCGTCTCTCTCGCACCCCGCGGCATGTCTCCTGCGAGTGCGAGGGAGACAGAGCAGCCTGCGCCCAGTGCTGCCTCCGCAACTTCCATCCCTTCCGCGGCGAAGTGGTGAAGCGCTGCGTCCCGAACGGGATGAGTGAGCTGTGCATAACGAGGCGGCCAGTGTGGCGGAACGCGAACTGCAGACTGAGAGTCGTTTTCAACCCCCCCCCCCTTTCTCTCTCTCGCACTCATGGGGGTCTCGTAGAGGTGCGAGAGAGACTGGGCGACGAGGACGTCCCTCGGAATCAGTCCACTGCAGGCCGAACTGGCTCGAACCGGAACTGCTCCGAAGTGCCGCCCTGCGCGCTGCTCCGATCGGGAAACCAATCTTGATGTCAACAGCACAATTTCCTCAAACCAGTGCTGTCAAGTAAACTAGCATCTCGAACTGCATCCCAGGCCATCGCTAAGCCGCTTTGGAGAGACTTTAGCCCAGCAGGCAGGATGAGAAACAGCCTGGTGCTGTACACTTCCCGTTTGTTTGGGCTGATCTTTGTCTGCTTCTTTGACAATACTCTATAAAACGAGCTGGGAAATAATCATCGTCATCCATCGCTCTGCCTAAAAATATGCGCACGCGCAGGCACTGCCTACCTAGCAGCCTGGCAGGCGTCATGGCCTCTTATGCAACCGACTGCGCGAGATTGCGTAACCACGGAACTGCTGCGGCGCTGCGCGACCCGTTTCACTGTAGGAACACCCTGTGCCTCCACTGTGAGTCTCAGGGACATACTCTACTCCTGCATACGATAGTTCCCGATAGTTCCTGTCGCGCTTTCGGTGAATGCATTTGCTCTCGCAGCCGAACTGACTTTGTCGAAGTGTGTGCAGTAGGAAAGGCGTGCCCACTGCCAAATGGAGCTTGTGCAGCAGTGCAGTGGTTGCGGACCTCGTTATGGGCCGATGCCGCAGCGCCGCGGCCGCAGGGTGGTCGTTTGCTCTTGTTTCTTGCGGCCGCGGCCGCCGAGCGCGACGCGCCTCGTTGGTGGCGTCGCGGCGCAGTGCTGCAGCGGCGGCCGTCGCTCTGTCTCTCTCGCACCCTTACTGGACGCCCCACGAGTGCGAGAGAGACAGAGCGACGAAAACGACTCCTGGCCGCAGTGTGGCTCGCTGCCTGCACCCTCGATGCCGGCGCGGCGCCGCCCCGCGCCATGATGGCCCTGCGGCTGGCCGCGCCGCGCCGCGCCGCCCGGCGTTCCGGACACCCGGTCCCTTGCGGCCGATGCAATAGTGCATGAGGCCGGTGATTGCAAACAAAAGGGAAGGGACGCCGCTTCTTTTCCTCTTTAACTCGCCCCGCCGCCCCGCCCCGCCCCGCCCCGCCCCGCCCCGCCCCGCCCCGCCCCGCCCCGCCGGTCTCTCTGACCTGCCCCTGCCTCTGTCCCATGCTGTGCCCGCCACCCACCAGCCTGCTGCCTGCAGCCCTGGCCCGCCCGTCCGCGGCCCTGGCGGCCCTGGCGGCCCTGGCGCCCTCCCCCCCTTTCGCGCCGCCACTGCCGCCACCGCTCCGGCAAGGCTCCGGCCCCGCCGCCAAACCACGTCCTGGGCAGGGCAGGCGGCAGCGCGGCAGGGGTAGCGGCGGGGTGGCGCGGGCCAGGGCGGGGCGGGGGCGAGGCGGGGGCGGGGCGGGCGGAGTGCCTAGCAGCTCAGTCCGTGCCACAGAGTCCGCTTGGCTGTCCCCCCCAGTCGGCCACGAAGCTCCCAGGCGAGCGGTCCTGATCGTCTGAGCGTTGCGAGGGCCTCGTCGGGCTGTGCGGGGCTGCGTACAGGCGGTGCAGGGACTGCCTGGCTGGTGGTGTGCTGCAGCGTCCTGGGAGCGCGGCCAGTGCGGCCAGTCAGTGACAGGGAAGCCGAGCCGCCAGCACTCCGGCCGTCCCGCCCGCCGGCCAGCCGACTGGATGCACGCGCTGCACGCGGCCGCGCGAGTCACAGTGTGGTGACTATGTGACGAGGGAGGCGGACCCGTGACCGGCGAGGCGCACGGCACGGCACGGCACGGCACGGTGCGGCGAGGCACGGCACGGTGTGTCCGAAGCAGCAACCTGGCGCGGCTCGCCGCCGCCAGGCTCCGCGGCCAGCACCACCTTGAAGGCCTCACGGACGCATCACAGACGCGGCACGGCCAGCACGGCCAGCACGGCGCCCTCTGCGAGCTGGTACGTGAGTGTGTGTGAGTGTGTTGGTGTGTACGCGGATGTGTGTGAGTGCGTCGCCGCCGCGCGACGCGGTAGCCACAGGGACGCCTCACGTGTGGGCCGCAACATAACAATCAATAGGCCAGCAGCAATGGCCAGCGCTAGCCTCGTGCCTCGCGGACAGGCCACCGGCCAGGCCACGCGTTGTGGTTACGAGACGCCGGGCCGGGGCGGGCGTGGAAGGCGGGGCGGGGATTCCACGCGGCCGCGGCACGCGCGTGCTCGCCAGGTCGTGAAGCAAGCCACGGGGGACGAGGGCCCCTCGAGGGGCAGGCCACGTGAGGCCACGTGATTCCGAAGCACCCGCGCCCTGCCCGCCCCGCCGCCACCCTCCCCACGCAGAGGCAATGGAACGATGGAGCGGCTTGTCTCTCTCGCACCCTTTGCAGAGCTCCATGAGTGCGACAGAGACAGAGCGACGCAACGCCTCTCCCGAATCGGCTGCCAGGCCACCACCACCTGGTGCACCTGGGGCCGGCAGCACACCGGGACGCCCTGGTCGCCAGGAAGGCCTTCTTCATCCAGGACAGCCACACCTGGGCCGTGAGCGGGCCCGGCCGCTGGACTGCAGGCTGTGCCCTGCCCGGGCCAGGCCATGGACAGGCCGAGCGCGGAGCGGCGCCTTTGGACCAGTGGTGCCGTCTAAAGAAAATTATAGGTCATACGGTTAAAGTTGTCCAAAGTTTGGACAGCCAACTGCAGGAACATCAGTGCCGCCACACTGTTAAAAATGAATGAAATTTAATGACATTACGCACAATGACATAATGCACAAGAGTAGGCGGAAACTCCCTCTATGCACCAAAGGGTTGCCAACCTCAGCCTGCCTCAAGGCCTGCCTATACTGTACGATTATATCTTGGCTTCGCTATCGAGAAGTTGCCAAAGATGAGGTCAGCCCTTTCAACACTGGTGCACAGTGAGAAGTTTTGCCCAATTATGTGGCAGGACTGAAAGGCATGGTGTGGCTCGAGTGTCGAGTGTGCCATCAGCATTTCCAAGTTGCAAACTTGCCAAGCACCGTGCGCTGCGCTCTGAGCCGGTTCCCAGCCCAGAGCCTGCACGCCGCTGCACGCTGGGGACAAAGGGACAGGACAGCCGCGGATCCAGGATTTCCCTGAGTGGAGTAACGCAATGCTTTGCCCCTAAAGAGGCAAAGCAGTGCTGGTTGCCTACCTTCCAGGCGGCCTGTTTCTTACCACCCCTCTCTCCCTCTGGATCCGCGCCTGCCAGGGTGACACGAACGCACACACAACACGGGGCGCTGGGACGGCCGATGCCCGATCCGCCTATTAGATTTTTGTTCCGCCTTGACCGCCGCAGTGTTTGCAGAGGACTGTATTGGATATCACGCCATTAGTGGACGACACCGGCACGGCGCAGCGGGCAGCGGGCCGCCGCGCCGCCGCCCCGCCCCGCCCCGCCCCGCCCCGCCCCGCCCCGCCCCGCCCCGCCCCGCCCCGCCCCGCGCCCGCCCCGCCCCAGGGGCCCGGCCGCCCCGCCTTGTCGGTCGATCGCGGTCGATCGCATCTCGAATCAAAGGAACGCCGGCCGAAGCGGAAACGCGGAACGACGCGCGCCTCAGCGCGGCCAGCGCTGCTCGTCACGAGACGGTGTCAGTAAGGCCGAAGGAGGAAGCCAGAACTCAGACGCGTTTTGAGCTCCAGAGGCGCTGAACAGGACTCGAACCGAACAAGCTCACCAGTGGATTCCTCATTCGGGGAGCAATCCATTGGTGGAGTCACACGTTCAGTTAGAGTCCCATTCAGCGACTCTGGAGCTCAAAACGTGTCCGGGGTTTTGACTGCCGCCGCCGGTCTTCTGGCCCACTGTGTGCCGCGTGGTTGCCGCGCCGCGCCGCGCGGCCAATCCCGTCCGAATCCCGGCGACACCATCGCGGGCATAAATCTGCACCGCGGCCGCGCGCGGCGACGACGGTCGCGCTGTGGCTGGAAATGAAATTTATTGTTGTCATTATTTCCATGAGAGCGGGAAGGGGGGGGGGGTCGCCCGCGGGAAGAGGGGAGGGGGATACGGCAGCGTGGTGGCGGCGGCCGGGCCGTGCAGCACGCGACCCGCAACGCAGCCATCGCAGCCTGCCCAGGCGCGCGACGCGCGTAGACCTAGTCAAGCCAGCGGAGCGCCTGTGATGACCCGCTCCACAGCGGCGCCGCGCCGCGCTGGACATGGCCTACCCGCACGGCGCTCTCGTCAAACTTAACGCGCTCGGACTCTACGGTGCGTGCTGCCGCCGCGGCTCTCTGTCTCTCTCGCACTCACGGGACATGTGGGGCATCCCGTGGGGGAGCGAGAGAGACAGTGCCCGGCCCGCTGCGGTGGCCGGGGCTGCCGGGGCTGCCGGGGCCCACATCCTTACGCCTGGCCGCGTCGCCGCGTCGCGTCGCCCCGTCGCCCCGTCGCGCTGACGACCTCCCTCTAATCCTGGCCGGGCATAATCCTATTGTGGCGCGGCACGTCCACGGCCCCCCCGGACGCTGCCCGCCCTGCCGGCGCACAGTGGGCCAGAAGGCCGGCGCCGGCGGCCGAAACTCTAGACGCGTTTTGAGCCCCAGAGTCGAACCAATCGTGTGACCCCATCAATGGACTCCTCGTCCTCGTCCCGACAGCAATGCATCGATGGGGTCACACGGTCAGTTCGAGTCCCATTCAGCGACTCTGGAGCTCAAAACGCGTCGGGATTTTGACCGGCTCCACCAGGTCTTCTAGCCCACTGCCCACGGCTCACTGTCCGACCCGTAGACTGACTCCAGGAGTTGTTTTCGTGGCTCAGTCTCTCTCGCACCGATACAGGACGATCCACAAGCCCACGAAAGATCGAGCGACGAAAACGGCTCTCGGATCGGAACCAGTCTGCAGCCGTGGGGAACGCCGCGCAGCACGCCGTGATGTCGTCAAGTTTCTGACGATTCGACCGCGTCCAATGGCTCCGCGTTTTATTCGTACTCCGAGGGAGTTGACCCCGTATCCCCAAGTGGGGCCATTGCCGCGAACGACCACGTTTCCGTGTGCGGACAACCAACTCCGCGTTTGGTGACGCGGTCAAAGTTAGTGCACTGGAGCAATACTGCTACTCACAACAAATTTTCGCGGTAAAACTGAGTTTGCCATTCCCACGGTTCATCGCACCCTGAGGTGCAATAATTTGGCTATTATAAACTTTTTCTTAGCCCATTTTTTTTGCGATTAAAGGGATCGTTGTAGTAGTTATTGTACAATTTACCTATATACGTCTTTTTCGTTTTTAACTTTTCCGACAATTTTGCAATTTTTGAAAAAAAAATGAAGTTTTAAGTTTATTGTAAAATTTGGACAGTGGACAGTGCAAGTGGAATATCACTGTGACCGCAGCACGGCACTTCTTTACCCGAACGGAGCCCTCCACGTTAGGTTTGACAGTGCAGCCCCACCCCCACCCCCTCGCTACTCGAGACGAGCCACTGCCCTCAACCTTTTCACCCGCTGCATCCTCCGGTGCGGGGCAGTAACCCTTGCCGTGCCATGAGCACAGCAGGGACGGCGACGGATCAAAAAGGATCCGCGATACGTCAAGTTGGCCAACGCACCGAAAAGGATATTGAGTAGGATAATGTGAGCAAATTTTATTTGTAAGCCCTTTTGCGGTGAATGTTTTTGGGTACTTTTCGGTTTTGTGACAGGCGCGTGAGTTTCGTCGGGCGGTGTACCTGGCGCTTGCAGCGGGGCAGGGCAGGCACGGCAGTGCCGATAGACACGTGGGTAACAGGTGGTGACGAGCCGAGGGGGCCCAATGGCAGGGCGGCACGGCGGCGGCGGGCCTCGGTCCGATTCCGCTGCCCGCACTCGTCGCTCTGTCTCTCTCGCACTCATGGAGCGTGCCGTGGGGGAGTGAGAGAGACGGGGCGACAAAGTGCGGAATCGGACTGCAGTCAGCCGCGTGGCCGGCCGCTCTCGGTCCGCGTCAAGGAGGCCGTCAGGCAGTGCGGGAAGGGGAGTCGGCAAAACAGACGACAAACTCGTCGGTGTGGACTATGTCTCATACTGCCTTGCCTACTAGGCAACTGTTCGAGATTAAAGCCCGGATATTTCCTAGTGGGCAGGCTGAGGCAGGCAACCCTCTCAACACTGGTGCATCGTGGAAATCTTTGCCCTCTTGTGGCAAAACCGAGGCCGAACCCCCTCCCCCAAAAGTGATGACGTAATATTTGCACGCCGCCATACACCTCACTGCTCCACACCAACGTCTTTAGCCTCTTTTCTGCCTACATTAGAGCATTTTTGCCATCAGGCTGCGGACAGTAACTACTACGTCAGTCAGAGGTTTTCCGGACGACGCCTTGGAGACGCGTTGGCGAAAACGGCGCGGAAACACTCTTGAGGCGACTGGCCGGGACGCCCGACCGCCCCAACTGTCACCGACGTATTCTTCCGCTTTTGATTCCAAACACGAACGGGGAAACTTTATCCCCACCCCCACCCCCTCCCGGTCACACGACCAAATTCCTCTCCCGCCGCAAACAGCCCCCGCTACCCTGCTGCCTCTGGCTGCCTCCCTTGTCCTGCCGGGAGATCTTGTTTCGGCCAAACAAAAGCCGCATTCTTTCGGACAGCAGAGCCCCGTGTACGGTGTGGCGCACCAGGAGCACCACCCAGCAGGGCATGCCCCGCCAGGCGCGGATCCAGGGGGGGGGGGAGGACAATTGACCCCGCCTCTGGCTCTTAGATAGCCGCCTGAAAGGTAGGCAAAGAGCCACTCTTTATTGCCACTGTAGGAGCAGGCAAAAGATCGCGGAAAGATAACTACTGTGCTCCTCTCTTGGTCGCGGCATCAGCTGGTGAAAAAATAAAAATAAAATGTTTTTCTTGTTTTTTCTTTTTTTTTGGGAGGGGGGCGTGCCGGTCAAAACGGTGCAGCGTACCCCCCATTCATAAAAGAGACCCACCGTACCAAAAACAATTCCATTTTGTCAGCATCGCGGGGACACGGTCCCTGACGTAGCATCCCTTTAAGGGCATCAGCCCTCTCTTTCTCCCTTCGCCCAAACGTCCTCAACCTCCAGAACCTCCCGACCCCAGCCACGGTGAAGCGAGCCACCCGCGGGGTCGGGGGGTCGCTCCAGGGGGGCCTCTCTGGGGAGGGGGGGAGGGGGTTGGCCGGCTTGGGGGTGCGGGGGTGGCAGCCCCCCTTCCGCTTCTTGGTACACCTCTCTGTGCACTGTGTCCGCCCCCACCGCGCCCACCCCCGGCCGCCCCCCACCACTGCATTGATCGTGGCTCGCTCAGTCTGCTCCCCACCCCGCTCTGCCCCCCTCTCCCTGCCCCGCGGCCGTCCTGATTACCCCCCTCCCCCTCCCCCTGCCGCCCCTTCCCCCCAATCTGCCTGCCGGTCCGCCCGCCCGTCTCATCTCCCCGCCTCATTCGCCGTGGGCTGGTTCCGAGAGTCTCTCTGTCTCTCTCGCACCGTGTCGCCTCACGAGTGCGAGGGAGACAGAGAGACCGAGGCACTCGTTTTTCGGAGGCAGCCCACTGGCAGCGTGTCGCCCCGTCGCCCCGATTCCCCCGGCTGCTACATGACAATCGCATTCCATTACACACCCCGCGCGCCCTGGCCGCGCCTGGCCCTGGCGTCCGGGTCCATCCTCGCCTTTTATGAATGGATCCGTGGGGCGGCCCGGCCGGGCTGGACGGCCGGGACGGCGAGCGCCAGTCCATCTCGCCTATCTCGTCGGCGCACTCCTTGCGTCCACGTCCGGCCACGTCAGTGTCATAAACACACACACGAGTGCAAAAACGCCAACAACATCAAAGCACCCTCGCGCGGACAGTGTGCGAGCACGACTCTGTCACTCACACACACACACACGCAGGCCGGTGCAGCATCGTGGGGTGTGGTGCGCGGTGGTGAACGGGCGGTCCGGGCTACCCCTCAACCCCCTCTCCAGCGTGGCTCCGGACTCCTGCAGGCCCCCACGCTGCTGGGTCCCCGGTTCGTTCCCGCTCTCGCTCTCTCTCTCTCTCTGTCCCTCTCTCTCCCTCGCTCGCTCTTCGATCTGACTCCAGAAATAGTCCACGATGACGTCATCGGCGACGTCACATGCAGGCTGGCGCGGCTGGCGCACTGGAGGGAGGCTGCGGGGCGGTGTGGCGGTGTGGCGGTGTGGCGGTGGGGCGCTGCAGGCGGCACCGCGGCACACAATGCTCGCCGCGCTGCAGCGCAAAGCGCCCCGCCTCGGCGGCGTGGTAATACGCCAGACAATCGGGCGGCAGTGGCGGGTCCAGAGGCGGCCCTGCGGAGGGGAAGAGGGGGGGGGGACGGCGTGACGGGACGCCTTTGGTGGTGACATCATCATGGAACGGCGAGATTTGCGGCTCCGCGTCGCGCGATGGATTAATTCCCATCTGACGCGTTCACGTCGTCCTTCGCGGCCTTCTCGGCGACCTTGCCGCGTCATGCTGCTGGAGCGTCGCTCGTGATCCTTCGCCGTTCCGGCCTGCCTTTCGACCCTTCAGCCTTTCGACCCTTCAGCCCTTCGACCCTCCAGCCCTTCGACCCTCCAGTCCTCCGACCCTCCAAGCCCATCGGCCTCGCCCACCCGTTCAGCGTGTCAAGGCACTAAGCAGCGCTAATGTCTTTTATTGAAAGGTCCAATTTTTTGAGTGAATCTTAAACCAGTGTGGCTCACTTTTGATTCTTTCAACGACGACATCTGCCAATAACGCTGTGGTGTGCGGACAAGGGGGAATGACGGACCGACTTCGCCGCGCCACTGGTTTACTCCCCGTGCGTGTCTCCCAACGCGAGGGGGCCGCGAGGCTCGACACGAACCCTCCACGAACAGCGTTCCTTCGCTCTTACTTTCTCGCACCTACGGAAGTCTCGTGAGTGAGAGAGAGACAGAGGGACGAAGACATGTTTGGAATCGCTCTCCAGCACGCGTGAGGGAGCCGCGTTTGAATCCGAGCTTCCCAGAGCTACCCCCGGCGGCCCCGCCCCGTCGGCCGAGCACACCATGCGCTGCGCACCCGCCAGGGCGGTTCCCAGAGGAAAATCTATCTCGCTCGCACTCGGGGCGACCCGCGTAGTCCCGCGTGGTCCCGCGTAGTCCCGCGTGGCACGAGGGAGAGCGAGGGGGGCCCTTTCAAAGTCAGCCTGCCGGACACCAAGGTGAACGCACCTTTCCCGGAGCGCGGCGGGACAAACTGCCCCGGCGGTCCTTCAAGTCCTTTGGTCCTCCGTTTGCTGGTCGTAAAGGCTTGTCATTTTCGCGACGCGGAGCGCTCTGTCCACGCGTGGAGCATCGACCCAGCGAGCGGCCGGGCGGCCAGGCAGGCAGGCAGGCAGCCGTTCCAGGGACCGGGAACGTCCGTTGCCCCCGAAAAACACGGACCGACGGCCGACGGCTCGGCCGGTGTGGAGCCGATGCCGATCGACCGGGACGGCCCGGCGGGCAGCCAGTCACTCATCATCGCACCGGCCGCCGGCCTGGCGGTGGCCATCGACGACCCCGTCCATAGATTCCATAGATTATGGAAATGAACGTCGGTGATCCCTGATTGGTGAGTACGTTACCTATCCCCCGCGGACTCGCCGGGTGGGGTCGGACGGGGTCGGATAGACCCGTCGCGCCATCGGGCCGTCGTCAGCCCGTCCATCGAGCCATCATCCCCCGGCCCCGTTCGGCCCGCCCGGCCCATTGGCCGTCGGGGCCGCAGAACGCCAAGAAGGCCGCCAAGACGGCCGCCCTGCTGAATAATGTCTCACGCCAGGCTTCTCCATGGAAGGCTTCTCCTTCAAGTCGCGCTAAATTTTTGAGAAGGCACGCGATGCCGGTGGCCTTGTCGGGGACGTCTCGGCCGCCGGGGCGGGTACAGTGGCGTAGCCTCGGCGTGGCCCCCCCCCCCCCCCCCCCAACCCCGGAAACACGGAGCGGAAAGGCATTTCCGGGCGTTTCCCGGCCCCGCATCCTCCACGCCCGCCCTGTTTGCTCCACCTAACGAACCGGGACGCCTGTAATTATTCCGCCCAAAAAGGACCAGAAAACCGGATTCTTTTATCAAGTTGGCAAACTTCGGGGCGAGTTGCCGCGCTGCTGCCTGAGTTTCAGCGCTCCGGCCTCCGCGACGCCGTGGCCGCGCCGTGCCGTGACGACCCAGGCAGCCCCTGGCGGCCCGTGGCGGCCCGGGGCGGCGGCAGCCCCTCTCCAGAGCCTCCAGCGCCTCCAGCGGCGCGCTCACGGCCCGGGGATCACCAGCACTGCCCTCGTGGCAGCGCCGCGGCGGCACCCCGGTGGCCTCGGCCTCAGGCCTGGGCTGCAGGCTGACTCCGCGAGTCGCTTGTCTCTCTCGCACGCACACGGAGCGCTCCGCGAGTGCGAGAGAGACAGAGCGACGAAAACGACTCTCGGAATCAGCCCGCTGGGCTGGGCTGGGACCGGCCCGCCGGGTCGCCTCATTTTTCATGTCCCCGTCGGCCCCTTGCCGTGTCTCCGATCCCACACAGCTTGCGCCGCGCGCGGGGGTGGGGGACGTGGGGAGGGGGAGGGGAGGGGGAGGGGAGGGGGGCTGGCTAGGCTTCGGCCGCCGTGATACGCCGCGCGCACGCCATGTCGCCTGCAGGAAAGTAGGGGCTGCAGGCGGCAGGGGCGGCCGGGCTTACAGGGCGCCTCGCCAATTACGACAAGTAAAGAGTGTGTTTTCATGAGTCAGTGGTATCTGCATGGAGATAGGCGGCAGGCCGGTGGTGTGGGGCTGAAGCGAGGCTGAAGGGGCGCGCGGGGACTGGCAGGGTGCCAACGGCGCGCGCGGTGGGTCTGCGGCGAGGGTCGGCGGTGTGGGTCTGCGGTGAGGGTCGGCGGTGTGGGTCGGCGGTGTGGGTCGGCGGTGAGGGTCGGCGGTGAGGGTCGGCGGTGTGGGTCGGCGGTGAGGGTCGGCGGTGTGGGTCGGCGGTGAGGGTCGGCGGTGAGGGTCGGCGGTGAGGGTCGGCGGTGAGGGTCGGCCGTGAAGGTCGGCGGTGAGGGTCGCCGGCGAGGGCCGGCGGCGAGTGTCTGTGTCCGCGTCGGCGGCGAGGTTCGGCGTGCGTGCGTGTCGGTGCGGGTGGTCTGCGTCGCCGGCGTCGCGTTCGCATCATTACCGCCATGCCTCGCTGCCGTTCGAGCGCGTCGCTGGCCGGCCTTCCCGGCCGCCCTGGCACGGGCACCGCAATCGGGCCATCCCAATGACGGTGCGGCCAGGCCAGCGGCCAGCCAGCCCCGCACCATGCAGCATCGAAGCCCATTGGAAAGAACACAACGCGACCCCCACCCCCACTCCCTTTCCCCTTCCCTTGCCGAAGCACTACGTTATCCCTGTGGTGCTTACCGCCGCTACACTGCTACACTGCCAGCCCGGCCGACACGCGAGAAGGCCCGTGGCCCATCCCACCTGTGTGCTCTCGGCCAACACGACCGCCCAGACTTTGATTGTGTGTGTGTGTGTGCGTGTGTGTGTGTGTGTGTGTACACGCACACTGTGTGCGTGTGTGCGTGTGCATGTGTGTGTGTGCGTGCGTGGGAAGGGACGCACGAAGATCGTGGCTTCGTTACATCGCGACAGTCCAAACACACCGAACTAGTTGGAAAACGGCTAAATAACTGTGTCTGTTGCAGGGTGCCGTCGTCCTTGCCCTGGCGGGGGAAGGCCCCAGCAGCAGAAGACAAGGGGACGTCCCGCCTGCAGCTCAGGCTTCAAGACAGTGAGTATGGTCTGGCATGCAGGGGCGGAGCCAGGAATTCCCTCCAACAGGGGGTAAAGCAAGTGCCCTAAGAACAGGAGCGGTTGTTGCCTACCTTCCGGGCGGCGTAACAGGGGCGCCGGAAGTGTATTTCCTCAGGGGGGCAAACAATTTTAAATCCTACGTTCCTAATTACTCCCCTCCCCCACCAAAAAAGGTGCTTAAAAAGACCCTACTCTTTCATGCACCGCCTCGGGAAGGCTTTGACCGCTGATAGTTTAGGAGCAGTGGTCTCGCAAAAATGGTCAAAAAGTGAATGAATTTCAGAAAATCATCGTTTTTGCTGACTTTGAGCGGTCACTGCATCCAATTTAGTTGCGGTCAAAGGCCTCCCTCGACGCCTTACTATTCTAAAGACCCTACTCTTTCATGCCCCGCCTCGGGAAGGCTTTGACCGCTGATAGTTTGGGAGCAGTGGTCTCGCAAAAATGGTCAAAAAGTGAAAGAATTTCAGAAAATCATCGTTTTTGCTGACTTTGAGCGGTCACTGCATCCAATTTAGTTGCGGTCAAAGGCCTCCCTCGACGCCTTACTATCCTAAAGACCCTACTCTTTCATGCCCCGCCTCGGGAAGGCTTTGACCGCTGATAGTTGGAGCAGTGGTCTCGCAAAACTTGTCAAAAGTGATTGAATCCCCGCAAGTATGATTGTCATTTCATTGGATGATGTTGATTATTTCACTGGTTACCAACTAGACGCGCAATGATTATCTTGAGTCGGGTACCCCTTGAATGAGCTGTCCCATTTTTTACCCCGTGTCCTTATAATTGCTCCAACTGACCCTAGGCTCGATTTTCGCAGCTTCCCACCAAAGTCCAGGGGGGGCGATGCCCCCCCTGCCAAATTCCAGGGGGGGCAGCCTGCCCACCCTGCACCCCACTTCCGGCGCCCCTGCGGCGTAACCAGTAAGGGGGGATGGGAGGGGGTCAAGGTTAGGGGTAATCCCCAGGTGATTTTATTTTTTATTAAATTTAATAAAGGTCCTTATAAAAATTTATTGGAGTTTAATATGATAAAGTAAGCTTTTATAAGGGCATTCGTATAAAATTTCATAACATTTTATAAAGATCTTTATAAAATTTTATAAACACCTTTATTAAATCTTATACATGACTGTATATAATTATATACAGCGATATGCAATCTGTATATGGTTGAATGAAGCGATTGGTCATGTATTAAGTTTTATACAGGTGTGTATAAAGTTTTATAAAGGGTTTTATAAAAGTTAATACAGGGTTTTATAAAGGTTTATACAGGGTCCCTTATAAATTTTAATACAAATTTGTACATTTTAATTAAAAGTTAATAAACATTTATAAATGTTTATAAGAACCTTTATAAAATTTTATAAAAAATAAAATCACCTGGGACCCCTATTTTCTCCTCCCACAAATCCGCGCCTGCAGCAAGGTCACGGTCAGGGGCGCAAACGACTTTCTCTGGGAGTCTGGTAACAGTCGTGTCGAGGGATCGGTCCGCCAGCCCCATGGGATTGGCGTGACTCCCGCGCGACCACGTCCACCGCGACACCGTGAAGAACGCGCCCGTCGAACACGCTGCCGTCGCTCTGTCTCTCTCGCACCTTTCCGGGAGGCCCCGTGAGTGCGAGAGAGACAGAGCGACGAAAACGACTCTCGGAATCGGTCTGCTGGCGGCCGGGCTTGCGGCCTCGCCCCACACTGCGAGTCGGATGGGAAGGGGGTCCATTCAGCCGCGGCGTCGGAGCGTGAGCAAGTCGCGGCCCTCGTCCGCCATCAATCATCGCAGTGTGGCAGTGGCGGCAGCGCGCCGTATGCGAAATGCAGAGGCCGCTGTGCGTCTTGACGGTCTGCCGCGGGCGTGGGCGGGCTGCGTATGGCCGCGGGCGCGCTTTGGGAAGCGTCGCCGCACCCCGCCCCGCCGCGCCCCACCGCCCTGCCACGCCCCGCCACGCCCCGCCACGCCCCGCCGCGCCCCACCGCCCTGCCACGCCCCGCCACGCCCCGCCACGCCCCGCCGCGCCCCGCCACGCCCCGCCACGCCCCGCCCCGGTCAAGCTGAGCCAATTAGTCTCGCCCACTCGGCACACACATGGCTAAAGCAGGGCGTAGCCGGGGAATCCCGCGTGGGGTGTGGCCGGGCGTGGCGGGGCGTGGCGGGGCGTGGCTCCGCGGCCTTATCTATGGCTCCCCGCTGCGCTTGCCGCGCTCGCCGCCTGCCCACCCTTCGCCCTCAAGGCCGTCTCGCTGGCCGCGAGTGGCCGGAACAACAGCCTTTACCGCCACGGAGCGGCGGACATTTCATTCCCTGCAGAAAAAGCGCAAACGGAAACCGTGAACCGACGGCGGTATTCGAACCCACGACGATGCGCGCGGAGGCGTGATTACCGGGGGCTAATAGATGCAGGGCCGGCCAGGCCGCGGGCTATGATTGATGAGCTGCTGCCTTCAGCAAACTTGGTCAGGCCGTCAAACGCCCCCTCCCCCCCCCCATCTCCACGCCCTCACGCCCCTCAGCGGCCCGAGCGAAGGCGAGGGCGGCGGCGGCACGCAGGGCTGAAGGACTAAACGGCACTCGTTCCGTCTGCCTACGCCTCGGCGCGCTGCCTGCAGACGGATTCCGAGAGACGCTTTCGCCGCTCCGTCTCTCTCGCACCTCTAGGCGACGCCCCTTGCGAGAGAGACGGAGCGACGAGAAGGACTCTCGGAATCAGTGTGCTGCTGGGCCGCGTCAATCAGCCCTTCGGCCGCCTCCGCTTCCTCGCCCCGCCCCGCCCCGCCCCGGCCCGCCCCGCTTGGCCCCTCGGGGCGCCTCATCGCCCCATCTCTCTCCGCACCGCTCCGCACGCCGCGGCGAGGCCAAGGCCGCCGTGGCCGCCAAGGCCGAGAACAAGGACGGCAGGCAGCGTCACGCCTCACGACGTCACGCCAAGTCCAATCGAAAGGGATTCTCCAGTCGCCGACACATTTTTCATCCCCTCCGTCCTCCCTGCGCGCTGCGCCTTATCTTGCCCGCCAGCACACTGGCCGAATGGGCCGGCAGACTGGTTGCCGGACTGTCTCTCTCGAACCTATGAGTGCGAGAGAGGCAGAGCGACGAAAACGACTTTCGGAATCCATCTACTGCAAGGCTGATTCCGGGTCGTTTTCCTCGCTGTGTCTCTTTCGCACCTTTACGGGACGCCCCATGAGTGCAAGAGAGACACAGGGCGATAAAATCGATCGTCGGAATCAATCTACTGCCGACTGATTCCAAACGACGCCCTTTTGTCCTCTCTCTCCCTCCGCTTGCCTCCGCTTGCCGCGTTGTCAGAGGCATGGCAGAGACAAGGCAGAGGGCTGCTCGTCCCTCTCTCTCTCGCCCTGACGGGCGTCCCGAAGGGGCGCGAGAGAGACAGAGCGACGAAAACACCGCGGCGGCGCGGCAGAGGCAGGCAGAGGCCGTTAGCGCGGCGCGTGGCCGTCGAGGAAGCGCGGCCAAGTCCGCTGAGCCGAGTCGAAAAGTGTTGGCGCCAACAGCCGTCAGCAGTCCGATTCCGAGGGTCGTTTTCGTCGCTCCGTCTCTCTCGCACCTATACGGGACGCGCCATGAGTGCGACAGAGACAGAGCGGCGAAAACGACTCTCGGAATCGGTCTGCAGGCCGTCATGCCCGACCGTTGTGTTCGTTGTGACGCCATCGCCGTGCCATCGCGACAGTGCTGCCAGCCTGCCAGCCAGCCAGCCCCGTCTGTCCGTCAATGGCGGCCGCACTGGCAGGGCAGGCAGGCAGCACGGCTGCGCTGCACCGCGCTGCGCCGTCCGGAAACGGAAACGGGCTGTTCAATTTGCAATGAGGCTTCATGACCGCAGAGCCGCACCGCCAGGGAGGCGCCGCACAGTGGGCCAGAAGACCAGTGGAGGTGGCAAAAATTCTAGACGCGTTTTGCGGTCCAGAGTCGCTGAATGGGACTCAAACCAAACGTGTGACCCCACCAATGGATTCCTCGTTCGGAGAGCAATCCATTGGTGGGGCGCGAGTCGGTTCGTTTCGAGTCCCACTTAGCGAGTCTGGAGTTCCAAACGCGTCTTTGATTTTGGCTGCCTCCGCCGGTCTTTCGCCCCTTCCCGGAGCCGCCTCTGCTCTGTCGCATCGAACGATTAGGATGACGTCGCGACGCTCTTTACCGCAGCCACGCTTGCCAACCGGTTCGGGCCAGTTCAGTACGCGAGGGTGGCTGCGGCAGTGTTGCCAACCTGGCCGACCTGGCCGCACAGCGCGGCCGCTCCGGGCTGCTTGTAGTGTAGTGTGCGTCTCGCGCCGCCGAGTGACAACAGTGTTGCCAACGGTGCCGGCCTGCAGGCCGGTTCCGAGAGTCGCCGTCGTCGTCACTCACTCTGTCTCTCTCTCGCCTCAGCGGTGGAACGCGCCATGAGTGCGAGAGAGACAGAGCGACGAGGACGACTCTCGGAATCAGTCTGCGGGGAATGGCGGCGACACATCACAGTGGCGCGCTGCCAGCAGGTGCACCGACCCACCCCCCTCGCCGTCGACGCCGTCCACGTGGACCAACAGTGTGTGCCCCACACCCGCCACAATGAGAGGCCTGCAGGCCGAGAGTCGTTCCGTCTCTCTCGCACTCACGAGGCGTCCCGTGTGTCTGCAGTGCGTTTCATCGCCGCCGCGGTGACGTCGCGGCCACCACACTGGCGGCCGGCGGCCCCGGAAGCCCCTGAACGTGAACGGGGCGGCGTGGCGGTGGCGGTGGCGGTGCACGAGGCGGGTCGATGGAGGCCGTCATTATGAATGGGCTCCACCGGACTGGCGGTGTGGCGGTGTGGCGGTCCACCCCAAACAAGGAGAGGCTCTGTGACGGAGTATGGCCTGGAGGCTTTGATTTGCCGTGCGTGTGCGTGTGTGTGTGTGTGTGTGTGTGCGTGTGCGTGTGTGTGTGGTGTGTGTGTGTGTGTGTGTGCGCGTGTCTGCGTCCTTGGCGTGGGTGGAGCGCGGTGTCGGGCCGACGGCGACGGGCCGTGCTGGGTGCTGGAGCACTGGGACGCAGGCCAGGCGGCGCAGGCCAGGCGGCGCAGGCCAGGCGGCCGGTCCGACTCGACTCGCTCTTCGCGCTCCACTCCCTCCGCCCCGCCTTCGCTGCTTCGCCCCTTTCCTTTCTCCGGAGACCTCGCGCTTCTCTTGACCTCTGCTCCGGCACTGGCAGGCGGGCCGCGGGGGGCCGCGGGGGGTGGGGGAGAAAGTGACTTGGGGGTGGCGGCGCGCGGAGCAGTGGGGCAGCCGAGGCAGAGCCGAGGCCCCCGCCAGCCCGCCCAGCCGGCTGACTCCAAGCCTTAGAGTCAGGGGGAGGTCCCGTCGGACTGTCTCTCTCGCACCTACACGGGAGGCCCCGCAGAGCGCGAGAGAGCCAGCCAGCAGGCCGCCACGGCTGACGTTTCCACATTTAATGCCACATTCTATGGTTAAAGCTTGCATACCTATCACCGTTGACTGATGTCTAGAGACCTGAATTTCTTGGCGGGTTACGCCGGTTCAGCAAACAGGTCACTTTTCTTATCTCTAAGGCTGATTCCGAACTGCGCCTTCATCGCTGTGCCTCTGTCGCACTCATGGGCGTCCCCTTGGGCAGCGAGAGAGACAGAGCGACCGCGCTCGCTGCTCGGCATCAGGCTGCCCTGCCACCGCCAGCCCTGGCACGGCCACAGAAAAGGGAGGCGATGACTTTGCCCGCTGCACTGCGTCCGCACTGCGTAAGGAACAAAAGAGTGGCGCCGGCAGCGCACACGGCCGCCCTGCCAGGCCCTGCAGGCTCGCTCTGTCTCTCTCACATCCGGCGGGACGCTCCCGTGGGTGCGAGAGAGACGGAGCGACGCCATTCGGAATCAGTCTGCGGGCCATAGCCAGGCCCGGCCAGGCGGGTCGCACTCGAGCTTGGGGTTGGGCTTTGTGGGGGTTTTGTGGGGGCTGGCGGCGCCTGGCCGGGGCGTGGCGGCGCGCAGCGAGGGCGGGGGGGAGGCGTAGGCGCAGAGGGCCGGGGTGCCAAACTGCGCGCTGAGCCGAGTCCAGGGTTTTATTTGTCTCTCTCCGGTCGTAAAGGCCCTCTTCATCTGGCGGTTTGGCCCAGCGGCCCTGCGGCCCTGCGGCGGCCTAGGCCAAGGCAGGCCGAGGCCGAACACTGCTTTCTGTCGCTCTGTCCTCTCTCGCACTCGTAAGGCGAACCGTAACGGTGCGAGAGAGACAGAGCGATGATTCGTTTCCTGCTGTGTCCGTCGGACTTTGAACCCACGGAGCGCCCGCCGACTCGAGAGTAGGCAACCAGGACAGCAGACGTGGCGGCGCGCTGGAGGTTGCCTACCCCGGACTCGGCGGGCGCTCGCGCGGCGCAGTCGCAAGACCAGTGCAGGTGGTCAAAATCTCTGACGCGTTTTGAGCTCCGCTTAATGAGCGTGTGACCCCATGGATTGTTCTGAGGAATCCATCGGTGGGGTCACATGTTCGGTTCGAGTCTTGTTTAGCGACTCTGGAGCTCAAAACGCGTAGTGTTTTGGCCGCCGCCACTGGTCCTCTGGCCCACAGTGCATCGGTACCGGTCGGACTTTGAACCCATGGGGCGCCCGCCGAGTCGAGGATAGGCAACCGGGACAGCCGGCGTGTCGGCGCGCTGATGGTTGCCTATCCTACCGTCGGCAGGCGCTCGCTCCTCGGCTTCCAGTGTTGTTCCTCTTCCTGATGGTCCTGTCTCTCTCTGTTGCAGGTCGCCGTGATGGGCCCCATGGCCCTCTGACATGGAGCTGCAGTCGGGGCCGGGTCCGGGGCCGGGGTCCTGGGGCGGGGCGGCCTTGGAGGCGCGGAGGAGCGCGGGGACAGAGGGCAGCAGGAGGCGGAGGCGTGGTGGGGGCGGGGCGAGGTGGGGCCGGGGTGGGTCCCTACTGACCCCCATGCGGTGATGCGCCCCTTTGGCCCCTCGGGACCCCCTGCGCCTCTCTCCGTCACCCTGGAGGCTCTAACGCAAGCGGTCTTCATCTTCGGTGTGGGCGTGACCATCATCATCTCCAACGTGCTCATTATCGCTACGTTCCTCAACGCCCGAGGTGAGCGAAGCAGCGAAGCCTGCAACTAATTCAATCCTCCACGGGGGGAGGGGGGGGGGTGTCGTTCGGTTGGCTGTCTGCATTATTACTCACTTCAACTTCAGCCTGCTTCAGCGCCCGCCGGCCGCCGCGGGAATGTAAATGGTGGCATGAATGATGGAGGGGGATTGCTATTATTGTAAGCTCGGCGCGCGCCGCACCCCCTCCCCCACCCCCTTTCCAGCGATAACTATTTTGCGGCCTCCAAAGCAAGCGGGCAGACCGCCGAGCGGGACGGCTGCCCGTCACGCCACTGCAAGCCGCCCGGCCAGCGCGCCGCGCCGACCGCACCGCAGCGCCACCGGCAACACCGAAACAAAACAAAAAGCAACAACAAAACAGAAAAGGCCGGGGCGTTGATTCATAAAATGTGTACGTGCTTTCATGAATATCGTTTATTCGTGCGTGTGATTAGGCCACGACTTCCTCAGGCCGGTACTAAATTAGCTCGACTTATTTTTCCCTTCCGGAACTGCCATGGCTGCCCATCCCCTAGGGCCCCTGGAGGCCAGGGCACAGCCTGTACGGCCCGACGGCCCCAAGTTTCTCGTTTCCCGCAATCAATATTTCTGGAGAAAAGAAAAAAAAAATCGAAAAATCGGCCATTATCATTTCTGACAGTGTCCCCACGCCCCCCGGCCGCCTCGATGTCTAGCAGTGTTTGGCCCATTGGCGTGGCCAGGCCCACCCCCGCGATCCGATAGTGCAGTGCCAGTGGACTGATTCCTAGAGTCGTCGTTGTCATCGCCGTCTCTCTCGCACCCCGGACGGGACGCCCCGTGAGTGCGAGAGAGACAGAGCGACGACAACGACTCTCGGAATCAGTCTGCAGCAGGCGGCGCGGTGCCAGGCCGGCGTGCAGCACACTGCAGTATTACCCGGCAGCAACTAACTGCCCCGAGAAAAATGCCCATTTGGCCTGCAGCGCCATCTAGCGGCCATCTAGCGGCCATCTAGCGGCCATCTAGCGGCCATCTAGCGGCCATCTAGCGGCCATCTAGCGGCCATCTAGCGGCCATCTAGCGGCCATCTAGCGGCCATCTGGCGATCATAGGCCGCCGAAGTGGCCCCCCAAGAGGCCGCCGCCGGTGGCCTGGTCGCAGAGGGGCTGCAGTCATGGCGGCGGCGGCCTTTGGTAATTGGAGCCGAATCGGCTCCAAGAGCGGCCATTCGCCGGCCGAGGCCCGGCCGAAGCAGCCGGATACGTTTCCATGGGTTCAATCCCCACCCGCGGCCGGTGCGAAAAGAAAAGGAAAGGAAAGTGAAAACTGGAGAAGAAATGAAAAAGGAAAGGGAAAGAAAAAGGAAAGGAAATGAAAAAGGACAGGAAATGAAAAATGAAAGGAGATGAGAAAGGAAAGGAAAATGAGAAAGGAAAGGAAATGAAAAAGGAACGGGAATGAAAAAAAAAACAGAAAGGAAAGCAAAGGAAAGGGCTGCTGACGTCACGGTCGCCGTATCTCCGCCTTCATCGCCCATTCGCATTCACACGTCTTTTGTGGCGGCGCCGCGATACGCCGCGCGTGGCGCCTTTCCGGGGAAAGGGGTGCCACTGCCACGGCCACGGCGCCAGGGCCACGGAGCCACGGAGCCACGGAGCCACGGAGCCAGCGGACTGATTCCGATGACACTGTAAAAATAAATCTATGAACGAACCGGAAACTGGAAGTTCCAGTATCTGGATGAAAATGTTGCCGAAGGGCGACCCTTGCAAATTCACGACGACTCTTCGTTCGTCCGCGTAAACATTCATCGAGGATTCACAAAATGTACAAAAGCGTACATCGCTCTGTCTCTTTTGCACCCCTCACGGAACGGTGACGGTCCCTGAGTGCGAGAGAGACAGAGCGATGAAGTTAATCGGCCCGCTGGCTGGGCCACGCCTGGCCACGCCTGGCTACGCCGGGGCGGCCCGCGCGTGTTGTACGCTGATAGACGGCCGGCCTACCTGCCATTGCCCGATGTGTGGCACTGTGGCGCTGGCGCGGCCGGCTCGGCGCGCTGGCTGAATAAATTAGTGAGTGCGACAGAGAGAGAGAGACAGCCCTGCGATGAGTGCGGCAGAGACGGACAGAGGCGCATAACGATCCGGGATCCCCCACCGGATCCAGGCCGAGGGGTTCACGTCGATGCACGACTCCTCAATAATACGTATGCCCCCTCTTTGGGGCGCCCGTCTGTCTGTCTGTCTGTCTGTCTGTCTGTCTGTCTGTCTGTCTGTCTGTCTGCCTGTCTGCCTGTCTGTCTGTCTGTCTGTCTGTCTGTCTGTCTGTCTGTCTGTCTGTCTGTCTGTCTGTCTGTCTGTCTGTCTGTCTGTCTGTCCGTCTGTCTGTCTGTCTGTCTGTCTTCCCGTCAGACCGTCTGTATCACCGTGTCAGTGGGAAGCCCTACGGAGGGAATCGACGGAACCTAATGGGTTCGATACAGCATCAGGAACCACGTTCTCTGTATTGTTGTTGTTGTTGTTGTTGTTGTTTGTTGTTGTTGTTGTTGTTGTTGTTGGTTTTGCTGCTGCTGCTAACCTGTCCTGTCTGTGTCCGCAGGGTCCCGAGACGTGATCAACATCTACCTGCTGTCGCTGGCCGTGGCGGACCTGCTGGTGGGCGTGCTCATCGTGCCCCTGTCCGTGTACCCGTCCGTGGTGCAGTCATGGGTGTACGGCGACGCGGTTTGCCGCGCGGTCGGCTACCTGGAGGTGACGCTGTGGAACATCTCGGTGTTCACCTTCATGTGGATGGCGGTGGACCGGTACCTGGCCATCCGCAAGCCGCTGCGCTATGAGACGATCCAGACTCGGACGCGATGCCAGTGCTGGATGGTGTTCACATGGATCTCCATGTCCATGCTGTGCTGCCCGCCGCTGCTGGGCTTCAACCCACCCATCTTCGACCCGGACGCCTACGTCTGCATGCTCAACTGGGGCGACATGTGGGCGTACTCGGCGACCCTGGCCATCCTGGTGCTGGGCCCCAGCCTCATGACCATCATCTACACGTACAGCTACATCTTCGCCATGTACAAGCGGCTGCGCAGCGGCGTGCCCATCCACGACAAGGAGTACGCGACGGCGCTGGCGGAAGCGCTCGCCAACCCGACGCACATCATGTCCTTCGTGCTCATCATCGTGTTCTGGCTGTCGTGGACGCCCTACATCGGCGTGCGCCTCTGGGAGCACTTCACGGCCACGCGGCTGCAGGTGCCCTTCCTGCACTTTGGGCTGGTGTGGCTGGGCGTGCTCAACTCCTTCTGGAAGGGCATCATCCTGCTGTCGCTCAGCCCGGACTTCCGGCTGCTGGTGCGCTTCTTCTGCCTGACGGTGTGCTGTCGCGGCAACAAGGCGCGCCTGCAGGCCGAGCTCATGGGCATGGACATGGACGACTAGGAGCAGCCCTCTGGGGTCCCCGACGACCCTGACGGCCCTGCCGAGGCCCGCTTCGGCCTCCGATGCGACGGCCCTCACGATGCCCGCTTCGCCTCGGCCGTGACGGCCTCCAAGAAGGCCTCCAAGAAGGCCTCCAAGAAGGCCTCCAAGAAGGCCGCGGCCACGGCGGGCGCCGACGACGGCCAGGCCTTTGGCCAAGCCCAGGGGGAAGGGGCCCCAGAGGCCCGGCTGACTTCACACCTCACACTGCCTGCCCCACGACGGTCCTGGGCGTGGGCCGGCTCCTGGGCGCCGTGGGGGCCGTCGTGGGGGGCCCGGTCGCGCTACGGCCGCCGGGCGCGCGGGGAGGAGGACGCCAAGGCCCTCATCCTGCACGAGTTGTGACGACTGCCACCGGAACCGGAAACGGAACGGCCAAAGCGTGCTGCCAGTCACGAGCATAGCGCACAGCGCGGCGCGGCCCGGGCGGACTGTGGGTGCGTGTGTGTGCATGAGAGTGTGGAAGCAATCGAATAGCGACTAGCTTGCTTATCAGAGAGAAAGATTCACGGATGGAAATAGCCTGCGCGAGGAAAAGGTGGCATTGAAAGTGGAAAAAAGTCAAGCTTGATGTAGCAGTGTGTGCGTGCGGGCGCGCAGGAGTGTGTGATAGTGTGTGAGTGGGGAGACCCGCTGCTGGTGTAGGGACGCAGCCCCTGGCCCGCCGCGCCACCGCAGAGCCCCGGTGCGAAAGTGGCCCGTGATCTCGGTTTTACAATCTAGTTTCCATTTTCTCTGCTGCCGCAGCGTAGTCTCCGTGTCGTTGTAGCGGCCGAGCGTCGCGTCGACGCCCGGCTAATCTAGAAACAGAATCATCCATTTTCGGCAAGGTTTTTCGCTCTAAGTCACTCTGGATCACTCGGGTCAGTTTCGCGCCGGGACGACCGCGTCGTAGAGGCTATGTTCGTCATTCGCAGCACCCATGTTTTTTAATAATGTACTCGTCCTTAATGCACTCTATTGGTAAAGAGTTTTGTTGTTAGTCTAAGAACGATTTGGTAGGTTCGAGCTTCAAAACACTGGCCTCCGCAGCCCCAGTCGGCAGGCTTCGTTGTTTTCAAATTGTCGATTCTAAATTCGTGTTGTTCAATGTTTTTAGCTGTAAGTTCTTGTCCCCACGAAGACTCCAAAGGAAAGCAATGCGTAGAAATGGACCCTGGCTGTGCGACTGCATTCAAACACACGGTGTGAATGTCAAGACGAATCTGCACTACTTGTGCGAGAACCTACGCCCCCTGTGGGGGCAGACTTGCTTCTTGAGCGACAACACTGTGCATCTTGCAACTGCGATCTGAGCGGAGGTTCGCAAATGGTTTTTACCTTCTAAATTCAAACCAACTTATCTCGCATTCACACATATTATGTGTGTGTAAAATTCCATTGTATTATGTGAGCATCTTGTGTGGAAGCAATTTGTGTAGGTTCGTTTTGCGTGTGCTTGTGTTCGAGAGAGAGAGAGAGAGAGAGAGAGAGAGAATGAATGAATGAAGGAGAGTGAGACGGACAGACAGAGTGGGGAGAGATGAGTCTTGTGTTCTGTGCTAATTATTATTCCATCCTACTTCATTCTGAATGCGCGTCTGTGAGAGAGGGTGTGTGTGTGTGTGTGTGTGTGTGTGTGTGTGTGTGTGTGTGTGTGTGTGTGTGTGTGTGAGGGTGTGTTCGTTTGTGTCTTGGAGTCCTTTAGAAATGTCCCGTAAAAAGTTTCGAATTTTGCTCAGGTTAATTAATGCGTTCCCCGTTTGCGCAAAGTACAGTGTAACTATAATCTCTCTCTATCCTCGCGCCCTTCAGACTCCTCGCGTTGGTTCCGCGGGGCCGGCCGACTAACAAAGTTACCCACCTCAAACGAAAAGATACGCAAGACTTCATGTCGAGCAAACTCACTATTATTTTAATAAAATGTCGCAGTTGATTCCTTGCTTACTTCGGTTTGCGCAATGCAATTTGTACCCGAGGCGTTTCTATGTGATTAGGATAAGATTATTCATTGTTGCATATAGATTTCGTGTGATCATGGGTTCGCTTGAAAAAAACGAGTAGGAAGCTGTGAAGTACCTGTACAGAAGATCTGAATACGATTAAGTCATCTCTCATTTCTTAACTTTTTTATACATTTTCAAATCGTCTAAACTTGCATGTGCACTCAGGTGCTTCACGGATTTTCCATGTTTTTATTACTAGTTTTGAAAATTTTAACATGTTTCGTCTTATGTAATATTTGCTATACAGACAATCATGATGGTAGCGACGACTATTCAGAATTTAAAACTTGTTCCCTGGCACTGTCCCTCTGTGACCGAATCCAGACCTGAGCCATTCGAAACATAGTGGGATCGTCTGACTGAATTTCGCTGTGGCATCTTCGCGGAAGTTCCATCAGTTCCCCGTTTACTGACACCTCTGCGCAACTGTTGTTTGGAAAAACAAAAAGCTGTTGACACACCGTGGAAGTTCCCCCACACTGCGCAATGAGAGATTATCTGTGACATGGCAAAAACTTTAATCGCTTTATTTCTAGATTTCGGTTTGCTGGAGTTTGTTGAACCGTCCACGATCCGAAGGAGGGAGTTGTGCAGCCGTGGATGCGATATGGCGTGTAGAGGTTGCCGCTCGTCCCGTAGACAGTGTAGTGACGCCCGTGGCACAACCATTTTCGTCTGCTTCTTTCCGCCTTCGTTCCACGACGTGCGCTTTTTTGAACCGTGTTTGCCGCACTGTTAGAGAAAAAGAAGTTTGTATTTCCGACAATCATTCCAGTGCCATTTGGGTGAGTGTGGTGAGAAAGCACCGGATCGCCTCTTTCGGCGAGCCACACGTGCAGTCAGCTAGGAAAGAAAAATAGTCCAAAAAAGTCACTTCTGAGCCAGTATTTGAGCGCGCGAAGATCAAGTTTTCGCCGTTTTCACGGCGAAGACTTTGTCAACAGTGGAGGGTGACTTGTTTCTTTCCCATGCACATTCGTCCTGAGTGACCCGAAAGCAGTGTCGGTAGACAAGCTTTTTCCACTAACAGAGAGAAATGAGAGCTTCAGAGGCTAAGTACATTCCTTGCTGTTTTGTTCACAGCTCTCTTTTTAAAAAAATAAGGTGATGATGCTATTAATTGATTGTTGTTTCCGATTTGGTTGAAATTTCCGGATACTTATTTCAGGATTTTGTAGTCCACCCATGACGTTTTTGAAATCGTACTGGAAGAATTATTTCATTTAATGTCATAAGTACTTGAAAGTTTATTTTTATATGTTTGTTAAGACTTGTTAGTTACGTAGATAACAATTGAAGGAGCGAAGTGCAATGTCTCTGAGCACGGATCGTATCATTTATTCTGGACGTGATGGGAAACAGTCAGGGCCGTCGTCGACACACTGAGCCACTCCGACTATACCTCATGTTCTTTCCTTTTCTAACATTCCTTTCTCTCGTTGCTTTTTTCTTCTTAAGTGTTTTAGATATTTTTTTCTGAAATTCTCATCTCGCTCTTGTTACTGTAGAAAAATAAGTCTGCTGTTGGACTGTCTATCAGTCAACGTTGTCCTTCGAACCTCGGCGTGATTTATATGTGCTTACGTAAGCACAGTCAAATTTTCCTAATGTTTCTGTTTTTATTTTTTTTTAAACGTGTCGAGGCAATCGAACCTTTCATGGCGAGTACAAAAACATAAAACAATACAGACAAGGCATTCTCGGGAGACGTGTGTTTAGAATCGACTATTGGGTCGAGCAGAAAATGTGATGTTTTGCTTTTGTGCTCGCCGTGCCGCACGCTGTCTTGGTGCTACCCTTTGTACTTAATCTCTAGAGCATCTTATTACTTATATCGTCTGTTTCACTTAACGGGGAATCTTTCGGCTTCGCTTCTAGACCCCTTGTCTCTTCCGCGTCTGTAGTCCTGGAAACTGTTTAAAATGTTGATGCCTTCGAACTTATGTGTTCAAAAACCACGAAACCGTTGAGTCCATTTGTTCCAGAATGCTTTGCAAATCTCTTTGCGGCGTTCCCGCTCCTCTGTTGTTGTTTCGGGTGATACTGTTTTATGAAATGCAGATTATTCAATAAAAAGAAAGATGTGTCTCATAAGAAACGTTGGGTGTTTGAATAGTGAAAATTGCGTACCTAAAGCAAAACGGATTGTTTGTTTAGATAATTGAATTGCTACACTAATCAGTGTATAAATGCTCATGTCACGCTAATAATTTTATACGTAAATTACCGTGTAGTTTGATAGTTTTGTAATAGATTTTTTTGTAATGTGTGTGGAAACTATTTCTGAGATTACAATACTATTAAAACGTTACTGGCGTGTCTTGCATTATGTTTCACGGTGTAAAGTAGGGGCATAGTCATTTGAAAAGAATAAATCGTTATGTAGGTCATTCACTGTGGCGCGTCTCTTCATTTCGCCACCAGATCCCAGCCTGTCTCTATGTCTCCCTCCCCCCTCCCCCCTCCCTCCCCCCCTCCCCCCTCCCCCTCCCCTCCCCTCCCCTCCCTCCCCTCCCCCCTCCCAACGAAATGGCGCCGCCTATCGCCGCGGGGCTGTCTCCACCGCCGTCCGGCCGAGTTCCGGGGCCCTGTCCAGGACCACGACGATGACGACGACGATGACGACGACGACGACGTCCCGGAAGCACCGACAGCCCAGGAAACTCACAGCGCCGCCACTCGCGCGATCGCCAGCAACGATTCGAGCAACAATTCGCAGCGCAAAACAAACGAATCGGAACCGCAGTTCGCGGAGCGCCCGGCGGCGGCGGCGTAGGCAGCCCAACGCACAGCCGCACCATTCCGGCCTCGCCTCGCCAGCAGCCTGACGCGTCGCTCTGTCCCTCTCGTCTTCTGGCCCACTGTGCGCCGGCCATTCACGAACACACACCGTCGGCCAACGCTGGCCGCGGTGGAGCTGCAGCAGGCCCTCGGCCCTCAGGGCGTTGGGCAGTGCGGCCATGGGCGTGAACTTTGCGAGGCGTCAAGGGAGGCCGCGGCTTCCTGCGCCATGGCCGTGAAGAGCTGACCCGCCCTTAACCTTTTTCGGTGGGCAGTTGGAAAGGGGGGGGGGGGGGGAATGACCATGACCGTTCTTTATTAGTCTTGCAGAAAATGGGAGCAGCGTAGAGTGATTCCGAGAGTCGTTTTCGTCGCTCTGTCTCCTCTCGCGCCTATCCGGGACTCCTCATGGATGCGAGAGAGTCACAGCGACGAAAACGACTCTCGGAATCAGTGTGCAGCAGAGATGTAGAGGGAAAAGAAAAATGGAAAGGGCACGGCAAGAGCAGCAAGAATGGAGCAAAGATGACACATTGTTCCCAGTTGCCATGGCAGCCTTCGCGTGGGGCCGTTCCGGCTCATCAGAATAAAATTCTTGTAATGAAACGCAAAAAAAAAAAGAGAGAAAGACCCTAGATAAAGGAAAATGACTCTGCAGTACCTATCCGATGTGAGTGTTGAGTAGCTTTAAACGTCAGCCAGTATGCAAGGTGGGGAGCTCGACCCGAACGACGACATTTGGTGGATTTCAGCTGTACCTGTCGTGGGCCGAGCCCTTGCCCATTGACACCTGCTTCGAGGCCAAGTGCACCTTCATCCTGGGGGTCGCCATCGTCAGTTTGACGTGAGTGAGGTCTCCACTCAGCGTGATTTGAAACATGCTCTGCAAACTGAGGTGTGCACTCAGTATGCGAGCTTCAGTTTGTAGTGAGCAGCCTGCCGAGCGATAGAAGAACGCTTTGTCACTCCGTCTCTCTCGCACTCTCATGGAGAGAGCCATGAGAGAGACAGAGCGAGCTCGGCTGACGGCGCGCCTGGGTTCGCGGTTTGCAGGTGCATGTGGTGCTCGGGCAAGGGCGGCCGCCCCGGCGTCAGGGTGTCCGTGGAGGCGCGCCGGCCCAAGTACAAGTTCACGCGCAGCGGCCGCACCTACGGGAAGTACTACTAGACGTCGGCGGCGGCATCGCGACACCCAGCGACACCTTCGCCTCGATGCCTCCAATGAAAATAAACGAGTGATTCACAAAGCCCTCCTCCTTCCTCGGACTCGCGGCTGCCGACCGATTCGGGAGAGCGGTCTGTCGCTTGTCGCTCTGTCTCTCTCGCACTCGTACGGAGGGACCCTCGAGCGCGACAGAGACAGAGCGATGAGACGACTCTCGGAATCACAGCGGCTGCGCCGATCATTGAATTGACCACGTCATAGCGCTCCGAACGACATGTTCACTGCACGACAACAAAAGGCCGACACATCGAGAGAGAAAGTGCGAGTGTGTGCGAGCGCCTCGCGGTGGCATTGCGTGTGTGTGTGTGTGTGTGTGCGTGCGCGCAGGGTGTGGCCCCACACGGCATTCGCCGGCTTGTTTTCGGCCAGGGCGTGGCGGGGCGTGGCGGGGCGAAGCGGGTGGGGCGGGGCGGCGCATTTCCATCCGCGATTTGAATTCTGCAAAGGGAGCGATTTCTCTGGACGCATCCTCTGCGGTGTGCGGCCCCGCCCCGCCCCGCCCCGCCCCGCCCCGCCCCGCGGCTTGCGAGTGGTAGTGCGGCGCGTCCTGCCCATGTACAGCAGCGGCAAGGTCCTTCCTCACTCTCCAATAAATCCAGCTGATAAAAGCAAAGCGCCTGCATGGTCTGCATGGCGTGTGTGGTGTGCCCCATCGTCATTTTTTACTCCTCTGTCTGCCGCCACTTGTCAAATTAGTTCGGAATCCCCCCTCCCCCCTCCCCTTCCTTCCCGGTCGCCTCTGCGAATAAAAGCAGCACGGCGCGAAGCTGGCCGCCTTGCTGGCCGCTGCAGGCTGAGTACTGCCGTCTCTCTCGCTCCCTTACGGGACGCCCCATGAGTGCGAGAGAGACGGAGCGACGAGAACGGCGCTCGGCCTGCTTGCCCCATGGTCCGCTCCACCGCAACATGATCATTACGAAGGGGAAGGCGAATCCCATACGGCGATGAAAATGAGCTGCAGCCGCCGGGCCGGCCACGCCACGCCACGCCACGCCACGCCGCGCGGCCACCGCCCCGCCCGACTGCGGCACTGCGACCACTGCCACTGAGGCCGACTAACGAGACCAAGGCGGGACATAAAAGTTTTCGCAAACACTTGTGCGCGCTCTGCACGCCTCCATGCATGCCGCAAGCCAGCCGCCTTCACGACCCCATGCCTTCATGACTCCATGTCTCCCTCCATGCTTCCACGCCCGCCGTCTTCATGACCCCATGACTCCCCTCCGTCGTCCAGCAGTGCACCGCCGCGCCCGGCGTGCCTCCACTGTCTCATGGACCGACAGTCGTCAGGGCGCCAATCCCGTCCAGTCCGTCCGACGTTCGGGCCGCTCTCCCTTTTGTTTCCGCCCGTTTCGGTTTGGCCCGTTCACCAGTAATTGGCGGTGCGGCTGACCCCAAGCGGCGCTGACCCGCCCCCCTTCCCCCTCCTCCCTTTCCCTCTCCCTTCCCCTACCCCACGTTCGATCACGCCATGAACCTCGTCTGAGCTGGAGCGCAAAATCGGACAAAATGATATACCCGGCCATACCCGGCAAAAGATACCTGTTTGTATTTTATTCTATTTTTAAAATTTCAAGTGTGTGGGTGACCCGATTTTGCAGTGCATCGGCGCTATTGTGTGTCCGCGCTGCACTCCGCCGGCCCTCGACGCCGTGCTCCGCGACGTGCTCCGGGGCGTCCTCCAGCGCCGCGCCGTTCCCCCAGCCCGGCGTGCACGGCGGCCGTCTAATAACACACGCCGCCCCGCCCCGCCCCGCTCCGCCCCGCCCCGCCCCGCTGCCCCTCCGCGTCGCCCTGCCGCCCTGCTCCACACTCCAGTTTGCAGTTTGGCGCGCACGCTCGCGTTGCACGGGTTGCACGGGTTGCACGCTGCACGGCCGCAGCGTCCCGCCCGGCCGGCCTCGCCTGCCTCGCCTGCCTCGCCACCGCAAGGACCGCAAGCTGCAGCGCGACGCGGCCGGCATCGCGACGAACATCGCGGCGCCAACAACGTCGCGGCGGCGGCCGGCGTCCCCGCGGGCGTCCCCGCGCTGCACCAGCCCTGACGGCCACCAGGTAAGGCCCGGCGACGACGCCGCACGCTGCACAGTGGGCCAGAAGACCGGTGGAGCGGCCAAAACTCGAGACGCATTTTGAGCTCCAGAGTCGCTGTAAAGGACTCGAACCGACCGTGTGACCCCACCTATGGATTCCTCGTTCGGAGAGCAATCCATTGGTGGGGTCACACGTTCGGTTCGAGTCCCATTTAGCTACTCTGGAGCTCAAAACGCGTCTACAGTTTTGACCGCTCCCACCGGTCTTCTGGCCCACTGTGCGCTGCAGCCAGCTTGCCTCCGAACCTCGCTGCGAACTATCAGGGATTTACTTGCACTGCCGGCGATCTCGGTTACGGCCGGCCGTCTTCGTCGCCAGCAGGATGACGCCGAGAGCCGCTTTCGTCGCCCTGTCTCTCTCGCACTCACGGGGCGTCCCGTGCAGGTGCGAGAGAGACAGAGCGACGAGAATGACTCTCGGAATCAGCCTGCAGGGTTCTTCGCTCGCGCCGGTCCCCGCGGCCGTCCGCGACGCGGGGCCCGCGGGACGCAGGTGCAGCGGCGAGGCGCCCGGCTTTACAGCCTCTCAAATTTTACTCTCACGGCGGCAGTTCCCGCACTTGCAACATTTCTTTCCGCGGTCGTTGTCGAACGCTTCGACGCGGCGTGTCTTCGCGCGCCCCGGCGAACGACCGGGTGACGAACGCCGTCCAACACCGTGTTATTGTCACCCTTTGTGCGCGAAACTGTGTGTCGTTCTGTGTGCGTGTGTGTGCGTGCGTGTACGTGTGTCGTGCCTGAGTACGGGTATGTGCGGGTGCTGCGTGAGTATTTCTGTGTTCGCGTCGAGCCAGTGGTGTGAGTGTGTTGTATGGGGGAGAGAGATGGCGCGCGTGTGTGTGTGTGTGTGTGTGTGTGTGTGTGTGTGTGTGTGTGTGTGTGCAGGCGCGCGCGGCGTAAGTGACTGTTTTGTTTGCAGTATAGTCTCCGCCCGCCGCGGCTCCGCAGCCTGCCGCCCTGCCGCCTGCAAGAAGCACAAGGCCCTGCTCGCCGCGGCTCGCCGTGCTCTCCTGGCTTTGGCTTGCGTGTTTTGCCATTGTGGCTGCGGCCACTTTGCCGTACTCTGGTACTCTGCTTGGCGTCTGCTTTCCTTCGCCGTGCTGTAGTGCTGCTGCCACTGGACGGCGAGGCGGCCCCGCGCCTTACCCCGCCACGCCCTGCCCCGCCCCACCACGCCCCACGCCCGCCCGGCAGGGGGTATTCAGCTCTTCTAAAAATAAGGATTTTTCACTATCCTTTTCGAGACCCTGATCGAAGTCCTGGCCAAAGTCCTGGTCACGGCTCTGGTCGAGGTCCTGGTCGAAGTTCTGGTCAAAGCCCTTGTTGAGGTCCTGGTCGAGGTCCTGGTCGAGGTCCTGGTCGAGGTCCTGGTCGAGGTCCTGGTCGAGGTCCTGGTCGAGGTCCTGGTCGAGGTCCTGGTCGAGGTCCTGGTCGAAAACCTGGCCGACATCCTGCGGTCGCGAAGCCCCGAACGAAGCTCGGTCCTCCACGCACGCCGGCACGCCTCACCGGCGGCGGCGGCGGCCTCGAGCACTATAATGGCAAGCCAGGAAGTGATAGTGGCGATGGCTCACTGTAAATAAATAAAGAAGCCGTGACGCGGCGCTGCCCTGCACGGCGTGGCGGTGTGGCAACGCGTTCGCGGCCGCACGCGCGACACCCACCCACGCGGCACGCGGACAAGGAAGGCCGGGTCACGCCGGGTCGGGGATATGCCGCCGCCCCGTCGCCGTGTCGCCCGGCCGGTGTCCTCGTCGTCGCCGTGCCCCGGTGTGAACATACTGCGGCCGTGCGCCCTTGGCCGCCCAGGGCCCTAGAGCCAGCAGGGTGTTGGCCTTTGCGTCGAGGCACGGGCAGCGCGGGCAGCGCGGCGGTGCATTGTCTGCAGCCCCGCCAGTGGCGTCGCCGCGGCGATGGAGGGGGCCGCGCCGTCCGTGTATGGCTTGTCCAGCTTCCAGAGCACTGCGGCCGACTGCAGGCCACTGCAGCTGTAGACTGTTTCGTTGTCTCTCTCGCACTCGTAGGGCGTACCGCACAGGTGCGAGAGAGACAGAGCGACGAAAACGACTCTCGGCATCGGCCTGCTCTGCCGTGCCTTTCGTTTTACACTGCCGTCCCTGCCCGCCAGACTACCAGTGCTGCTCGATCTCGGTCCGCAGGTCCCCATCGCCCCCAACCATGCCATGAGGTCGTCGGGACGACCGGGGCGTGCAGGGCGGCGCGTCTGCCTGCCAGGCCTGCCCCCTCCCTCGCTGCTGCTGCTGGCGTTCCTGGCTGCCACCGTCTCGGCGACGACAACCGTGGAGCGCCACCACCGCCACCACGGCCACCAAGGCCATCCTCAAGGTCACCAAGGCCACCACCAGGGTCACCAAGGTCACCAAGGCCACACTGCCCAAGCGTTCACCGCGACGCCCGCCCCGCAGGACGCCCAAGGCCGCCTCACCACGGTGGAGCGCGCGGTGGAGGACAACTCCGTCGACGGCCACCCGAACAAGAGCCCGCCCAGGATGTACCCGGGGTAAGTGTCCTGGTAGCTTAGCGCATCAGCAAACATGGAAGTCAATCATAGTTTTACAAGTCTTTACACCATCATAAAACATTTTTAAAGCACTGTTTCCTTGAAAGTGCAATCTGGACCCTTTTGCTGAACCAACCAATGGGAGCGCGGCGCTTACGTCACCGCGTTGTCGCCCTTTTCCCTACGAGGCCCTATAGGCCGGGCCCTTCCTGCGGCCGACGCAAGCAACGCGAGCACGCACCCCGGCCGCCGTGACCCCCGTCAACCAGTCGAGCGATTCCGGCGGCCGCAGCACGCCTCGCTCTGTCTCTCTCGCACCGCCACGGCCCCCGCGGCACCCTCCACGAGTGCGAGCGAGACGGGGCGAGCGAGGCGTGCGCGCGGCGGAACCGCCCGACGGCCGACGACAGCGCCGTTTGGGGCGTCGCCACGGCGTCGCCACTCCGGGAAAGATCGGCCAGGGCTTTAAAATGCGCCGCACGTCACCGGCACTGTATTTGCGAGCAAGGGGCTAACGCCCATACTAATGGCAGGGGCGGGAGGAGGGGGGGGGAGGGGGTTACGGCCGCAGGCGTGGTCCGGCCGGGGTCCAGACCGTCCAGAGACGGACGCGGCGCTGCTGCGCTGCAAGACGCATCATTACCATTCCGGAGCGATCCGCGCCGACTGCGTCGCGCCGCGCGTAGAGACCTAGAGACTGACGGAGAAGCGCGGGCGCCGTCGCGCGCTGGCGGCCATTTTGTCTGGGCCGGCCCAGAGGGGAGCGGGGAGGGGACAGCCGCGCGTCGCCGCGAACCCTTGGCCCTCGGCCTCGGCGGCCTTCACTACTTCCCTGCAGACTGATTCACGCTCGCACTCATGGGGGCAGAGACAGAGCGCGAGGAAAGCACTGCTGCGTGGAGGAAGAGGCAAAAACCGCCTTAAGTCGGCATGTCGGGGACTAAAAATGCAGGATGCGAGGTGCGGTGTCGCGGCAGTAAAGCCGGCCCCTCCCGGCCGACGTGTAAGGCCCACTTAGCGGCGCGTGACTCGATTGGGGGGGGGGGGGGGGGGTTGTCCCTAAAGTCATCCTCACATCACGTCGCCGCGCCGAAAGGCCGCATAAGGCCGAAACCCGCTGCAGACTGATTCCGAGAGTCGTCCCCAGCCGAAAATCTCGGTTACGATTACGGCCGGTTTCGACTCCGATTCCGACCCGACCGGGAGAGTTCCGGTTACCTTCGTAATTTCGGACAGGGTCCGGCTACGGGTACGATCGGACCCGGACGAAGTTGCGATTACGATCGTAGCCTGATGGGACCGTTGTGAAATGGAGGTGCGCAGAGTCTCCAAGTCCGTTGCCTGTGACCTCTCTGTACCCTCTGATTTCAATGCACGATACATGTACCCAGAGTGAACTTTGCGCGCTACGCCCAATTTTGACGTCAAAAATTTGTTGCCAGGTACCCTTTACAAGTTATTGAGTGTTTCTGAAAGTTTACTGGAGACCTCAACGCATGGGCAACGCATCTTGGAGTCCGAATCCGTAACCGGAACGGGTCCGATCGCAACCGGGAAGAGTCCGATCGTAACCGAGACGAGTCCGATCACAACCGGGAAAAGTCCGATCGTAATCAGGACAAGTCCGATCACAACCGGAGTTTCTTGTCGTAGTCGGGAATAAGGTCCGGTTTCCGACCGTAATCGGGAAATTTGGTCGATTTTCCGATCGGAACTCGTAATTTTCTACGGGATCGTAACCGAGATTTTCGGCTGGGTCGTTTTCGTCGCTCTGTCTCTCTCGCACCTATCGCAACGCCCCATGAGTGCGAGAGAGACAGAGCGACGAAAACGACTCCCGGAATCAGTCTGCTGTTGTCGCCGCGGCCGGCCGCTGCATTAGCGAGTGTCAATGCTAACGGCCCCCCTCTTCCCCCCCTCCCTTTCCCTTCGCGCACGGGGGGGGACCAACAGCCTGATTCCGACAGCCGTTTTCGTCGCTCTGTCTCTCTCGCACCGCCACGGAGAGTCCCATGAGTGCGACAGAGACAGACAATCTACTCTCGGAATCGGTCTGCAGGGCCCCGACCGGACCGGACCGCGAAGCGACACAAAACGGGAAAATAAATTTTCGCTAATGAAGGTGAGCCGAGTCCTGGACGTGGGTGGGCGCGGCCGCGCGGCGTTCCTCTCCCCCCCCCCCTTTCTCTTTTCCTCCTTTCCCGTTCCCCCTCGCCCGGGGCGAAAATGGGAGGGGGTCCCGACCGCGCGTGCCCCGTCCCAACCGACACTCATCCCTGGCTCGTTGATTACGGGCCGGCCGCCGAGATGTGTCCAGCCAGGACGGTGCCGAGCAGGACACACACTCATACACACACACACTCACACACACACACACACACACACACACACACTCTCTCACACACACACACATACCGCTTCTGCTTGCTGTGCGCCCTGTTTGTGTAGCCCATGTCCCTTACGACCCAGTGCGTGTCTGCTCGTGTAATCGACGGTAGGGCGTGGCGGGGCGTAGCGTCATCAGGGCGCTCTTGATTCCCAAGACAAACATGACCTACATGACCTAGCGGCGCGGGCAGCGCGGGTTGACTGCCCGGCAGTGACTGGCAGTAGTACAGCTGATGCCGGCTGCGATGCCCTCGCGTGGTTTTCGGTTTAGGTTACGGCGCGCGAATCGATTTCACCAGCAGATTTCGTTTTTCCTGTCTAGATCGACGGGCATCGAACCGTCGTCCTTTCGTGTTGTCCTGCGAGTGTGGTCGTCGCGTCGCGAGCGGTCGTCGTGGGCTGCAGCCAGTGCAGCCAGTGCAGCGGACTGATTCCCAGAGTTGTTTCTCGTCGCGCTGTCTCTCCCGCACACGCAGCGGCGTTCCGCACAGGTGCGAGAGAGACAGGGCGACGGAAACGACTCTCGGAGTCAGTCTGCAGAGAGACGCAGAGACACCACGGTATCGGGTGGCCTGGCGTGGAGGTAGACGCGCAAGGTGGGTGGTTGCGCCGCACTGCGCCGCACGCGGCTAGTTGCCGCGCTGCTGCAAGCACGCTGCAAGCACGCTGCAAGCCGGACCGCGAGCCCCCGGCAGACTCATTCCGAGAGTCGCTTTCGTCGCTCTGTCTCTCTCGCACCTTTACGGAGCGCTCCTTGGGTGCGAGAGAGACAGAGCGTCGTAAACGACTCTCGCGGATTCAGTTTGCGGCAGGGAGTCGGCTCACCGGCTCACCTGGCGGGACGCCAAAGCTTGGAGAGAGAGAGAGAGAGAGAGAGAGAGAGAGAGAGAGAGAGAGAGAGAGAGAGAGAGAGAGAGAGCAGGACTGCCTCCCCCGCGCTGCCGCGCCGTCTCTGATTTCAGCTAATTTGGTTGGCAGAGCAGAAACACGGCCTGCGATTCATCGTGATCGTGACGCCCACCACCGGCACGTCACCGACGTCGCCCCGCAGGTGCGCGCGCGACGGATGTCCAGCGGTGCCGCCAGTCCACGGGTCCACGCCAGTCCACGCCAGTCAGCGGCAGACTGATTCCGAGAGTCGTTTTCGTCGTTCCGTCTCTGTCTCGCACCTGCACGGAACGCCCCACGGGCGCGCGAAGCACAGAGCGACGAAAACGACTCTCGGAATCAGTCTGCAGCAGCACGCCGTTGTCCGTCAGCCAGCCGGGGGACTCCGAAGAGTCCGCTTCGTCGCTCTGTCTATCTCTCTCGCACCCTTCGGGTCGCCCCATGAGTGCGACGGAGACAGAGTGACGAAACGACCATCCGCAATCCGTGCGCGTGCCAGCCTAATTGTGCGGCACGCGTCGCGGTGCAACGACACGGCGGCACGGCACGGCACGGCACGGCACTGCGCCCACCCGGATTGCCACCGCATTCCGAAACGGTCGTTCCGCCGCTCTGTCTCCCTCGCACTCATGGGGCGTCTCGAAGGGTGCGAGAGAGACAGACAGAGCGACGAAACGATCTCGGGATCGAGTGGCGCTGCTGTGCGAATGCGAATGTGTGAGTGCGGCTCGCTTCTGCAGTGGCGGCGGGGCGGGGCTGGCCGCGGTCGTTGCGGGTAAACGACACTTTGCGGTGGAGGCACAGAACATTGGAAAGAACAATGCAGTTGCCGCCGAGCCGAACATCAAACTTACAGTGAGCAAGAAAATGTAGGGAAAATGTGGTAAAATATGCCCACCAATTTAATGAAAAAGTTGTCTGCCATTTCCTCACGCACCGTTTGCTCTCTCTCCGCTTCGGTGATGCGGGCTTTCGCACGGTCTGCTGAGACCTCCGTGGAGGCCTCCATGGAGGCGGCTGGAGAGGCAAAAGGTCGCATTGGCTCAGCCCCGCCCCGCCGCACCCCACCCGCCCCGCGACCAGCAACGCACGCCCTCTGGTGCTATATTTCTCATACTTTCTTCGTGCACACCGCCGGCCGCCTGATTCGGAAAGATGGCGTCGTCACTCTGTCTCTGTCGCGCTCATGGGCGGGCCGTGGGGGTGCGAGAGAGACAGAGCGACGAAAACCGACCGTCCAGAGCCCGCGGCCGCTTCCGCCCGACCGCGTGTCCGATCGGAGAGGAGGGCAAGGAGGGCGCGGCGGCGAAGGACGCGCTGCGATGCGAAGGCCCGGGGCGGGGCGGGGCGGGGCGGGGCGGGGCGGGGCGGGGCGGGGCGGGGCGGGGCGGGGCGGGGTAGGCAGGGCCAGTGTCCTCATCGAATAAACATTCCGTTCTCCATTCGGTCGAGTGCAGCGCTGCGCAGCGCGCCCCTCCCGAAATGTCACCGTGTTAACTTTTAACGGTCTCCTTCGCCTCGCCTAGCACACTATAGCACGCCCACGCCGAGGCCTGCTTGGCCTGCTTGGCCTGCACCGCGCCGCCCCGGCGGGTGCGCCTTCAATGTGACAAACGGCCGCAGTATTCACTCGCGGCCGTATGACTGACGCGCAGTGCGTGCCAAGTGCCCGCAGCAGACCGATTCCGAGAGCCGCTTTCGTCGCACTGCCCCTCTCGCACCTGTAGGGACGCCGCATGAGTGCGAGAGAGACAGACAGAGCGACGAAAACGTGTCAGGTCCGCAGTGCCGCACGCCGCGGCGCCCGGGGCTCCTGGACTTGACTCGGCGGCGTAGAATTCAATCGCCGCGGTGTCACTCATCGCAGTGCAGTGCAGCGCAGTGCCCCGTCCTCGCCGTAAATCGGGCTAGACCGCGACACGCAACGGCCTCGCCGCGCCGCGGATTCCGAGAGTCGTTCTCGTCGCGCTGTCCCTCTCGCACTCATGGGGCGTCCCGTGTAGGCGCGGGGGAGGCAGAGCGGAGAAAACGACCCTCGGAGTCAGTCTGCAGTGGGTTGGTTCCGAACATTGCCTTCGTCTCTCTTGCACTCCTAGAGCGTGCCACACGAGTGCGAGAGGGACAGCGTGACGCGCCACTGTGCGGAGTCCGCCTTTGTCACCCCCACGGTTTCCGCGACCGACAGAAAACGGCAAGCACAACAACTATCTGTCTGAGAAATAAATGCGCTCAAAACTAGACCGTAACGCTCCGCTCCGCTCCGCCGGGCTGTTTCCGCTGGACCGTTTTGTCCGCTCTGTCTCTCTCGCACTCATGGAGCCCTCCGGAGGGGTGCGAGAGAGACAGAGAGACAAAATGTCCCTCGGAATGACAGGCGGTGTTCGCGGCAGAGGCGTCCCCTGGGCCCTTGGGCCTGGGCCCTGCAGCCCGCAACCAGTGCGGCCGACACCGACATCGACGAACTGCTTTGGGGAGTCCCAGCGCCGCCACGCCACGCCACGCCACGCCCGCTCAGCGCTTCGCGCTCCCAGGCCAGCATTCTCATCAAAGGAATTAAGTGTAAATTGGCGCGTCGCGTCCCCGTCCGTCCGCATGGTCGGCCACACGGCGCTTACGGCCCTAGAGGAGGTGATTCCGAGAGTCGTTTTCGTCGTTCCGTCTCTCTCGCACTCATGGAGCGTCCCCTGTTGGTGCGAGAGAGACAGAGCGTCGGAAACCACTCTCGGAATCAGTCTGCAGGGCGCCAGGACGGGCGCGGCTATCGGCTTGAGGCTCAGCCCGGCAGGCCGGTGATGCCCGCCCGCCCGACGCCCGAGGCGCAGGGTTGCCTGCCTGCCGGGCGGCCGGCCGGTCTAGCCGCCTAGTGCCTAGGCCAGCACAGCACGGCACGGCCTGCATCTAGCATCAGTCGACCGAATCCGAGAGCCGTCTTCGCCACTTGGTCTCTCTCCCACCTGTAGGCGACGATTCATGAGCGCGAGAGAGACAGAGCGACGAAAAGGACTCTCGGAATCAGTCTGCTGGGGCCGCGGCCGTACTGCTTTACTGCTGCACTAGTTGAGGGGGCTGGGCCCGCAGCCCACCCAGCGCGTCGCGGACCGCTGGACCGCTCTGCACCCCATCGGCCTGCGACATTAACCTCTCGCTCTTTCTTTCTTCTCCGTGCGCAGGCGGCGCGTGTGCTCGCGTCGGGAGTCGACGCCGCGCCACGAGAAGGTGCGCGAGACGTACTGCCGGCCGAGGCTGCTGCCGTACTCGCAGCGCTGCGCCGGCGACCAGGTCTGCCGCGGAGTCAGGTGCGTACAGTGGGCCAGAAGACCGGTGGAGGCGGTCAAAACCCCGGACGCGTTTTGAGCTCCAGAGTCGCTAAATGGGACTCAAACCGAACGTGTGACCCCACCAATGGGTTGCACTGCGAACGACAAATCCATTGGTGGGGTCACACGTTCGGTTCGAGTCCTGTTTAGCGACTCTGGAGCTCAAAACGCGTTTAGAGTTCTGGCCACCCTCCATCGGTATTCTGGCCCACTGAGGGTCGGCGTCAAGTGGTGTATTAGTGGGAGTTACTGTAGTACTTCGCACGGAGGTGCTTACTGCTCAACCTCGCCGTGTCTGCGTACAGGATGGTGTGCGAGACGGCCTACAGGGACGTGCTGCGCACCAGGGTGACGCCGCGCACCGCCTACTCCTGCTGCCCCGGCTGGAGTGCCCGGAGAACGTCCCCCTTCGGCTGTGACTCGCGTCAGTGTTCCATTTTGTTGTTGTTGTTTCTTGCCCGTTTGGCTGTATATCCTATTTACCCGATGTTCTTTTTTCCCGCAGCCGTCTGCCACCCGCCGTGCGAGAACGGCGGCGTGTGCGAGCGCCCCGACGTGTGCGTGTGTCGCGCGGGGTTCACCGGACCGCGCTGCCAAGCAGGTACGCCGTCGTCTTCAAACCCCTCCAGCCTAGCCTCCTTCTTCCTCTATTTTTGTTTTTCCTTGCTTTGCCAGACGTGGACGAGTGCGACGAGGCGGCGGAGCGGCGCTGCGACCACGTCTGCAGCAACACGCCGGGCAGCTTCCGCTGCCAGTGCAGGCCCGGCTTCGTGCTGCAGCCCGACGGCCGCAGCTGCCAGCCTGCAGGTGCGTGGCGTGCGTCACTGCCTGCCAGTGGCGGATCCAGGGGCGGACTTTTTTTCGGGGGGTTCTCTGTTGACTCTGTTGACTACGTGCAGCATGGCTTTTTGCGAACCTTTCAGGCGGTTTCCCAAGTGCATGCGCCTTACCACTAGACAAACTATCTCTAGGTGCCCGGCCTAAACTGATGTCCGAGGAAGTCATTTTGAAGTCGTCCTCATTTCTAGCCTCACTCTGAATTGCCTTTTCTCGTCGAGTATGCCGCCCGCTCATGGCGCCATGAAGCTTGCCAAAATGCGTTACAGCATCTCAGATTGTCTGTTCTCATCAGGGAAGCCTCCTGGCATCGCTCCGGACCCCACGGACGGCGACTTCGAGTTCCTCGCCAAGAAGTTGGCCAAACTGGAGCAAGTATGGGACGGCATCGTCTGCCTTTAGTGCAGTGCCGTGGTAGTTGGTGACCGTTGTTGACTCGAACTTTGTCCCGCTCAGATTCTGCTGGTGCGGCAGAGGCACGAGCTGGAGGAGGAGGCTGAGGACTCCGAAGTGGAGTTGACGTCCGGCGCGGCGGCGGCCAACGCCGTCGCCAAGCTCAGCGCGCGGATCGACTCGCTGCAGACGGAGGTGGGTCCTTGTCCTTACTTTTGCTTTCAGCTTTTCATCTCGCTGAGAAGCTAAGATCGCGCCCAAAATCCCCGTCCCCGCTCTGCTCTCCCATTATTTTCTCAGTCCTCCCTGCTGCGCTCCTTCCCCTCCCCTCCCCTCCCCAGTGACCGGAGAAGGGGAGGGGGGAGGAGGAGGCGGCGGCGCGTGCGCGTAGAGTCCGGCTCGCCACGGCCCGGTCCATGCCGAGCCGCTGCGCGCTGTTATATGGACTCGCGGTCCCATCTCCCCCACCCAGGACCGTGTGGCCTAATGGATAAGGCGTCGGACTTCGGATCCGAAGATTGCAGGTTCGAGTCCTGTCACGGTCGAGTATTTTTTTTGGCGATGCCTTCCACAAAGGCTACTCTTGGCTCCGAATGATCGCTTCAGTGTCTTTTGTAAATATCGTGTCTGTGAGCTTCAGTTCTTTCACACTTTGTTCCATTAGATTCAACAGATGCGGCAAGCTGATCATCAGCGGTGTGCTCATGTGCAAGAACAATTATCTCGTTTGGAAGACGTTTGCTCAAGAATAGCAATTGTGGAACGAAAAGTTCACCATATTGCAGGTAAATTTCAGATTTGATTGTTTTCTTTATGCAGATTATTTTGATGGACTAATGGTTTTTGGCCTTCAGGTGCCTGCAGTACTAGAAATGCCAACAAGGTTTGGCCATAGAATACTCAAGATGTGATCGGCCTTCATAGCAGGCAGAGGCATCCACCAAAGCAGAAGATACACAGCAATTTGATTCACAAAAAAGTATACCGTGTTAATTAAATAAATTATCAAACAGATTTTCACTTCACATGTTGTCAAAAGTGTATTTCTTTAGAATGTCAACAGTAGGAAACAACAGCAGTTATTTTTCATAAGCTCTAGTGCACATTCCAGTTGAAGTTACATTTATTAAATTAACATAACAAATTATGTACAAAGAAGACAATCTGAATTTTATAGCAAGTTCTGCCAGGACATGATTGCTAAGGACTCATTATTAAGAATATTTTAACAGGATATTTTCAGTATAAAATACTGACAGTAATTTTGTAATTGTATTTGACTGTAAAGAATTATCACACAAAATGAGTAACCACAAAGGTCAAACCTCTCAAAACAATGCTTACAGAAAAATAAAGATCCATTAAAGAAATTTATGGGTTGCAATTATAATAGTAGATTGGGTTCACACTCCATATCAGATTCACCCGAATTTTCACTATCATTCTGTTCTTTGTTATTATTTAATGGCGCTTTACCTTTTGCTAACCTCTTGCGCATCTTTTTCCTCTGAACCTTATTGGCATGTGCTTTTGACCTGACTTTTTTACTGTTCATCCACTCAGGGTAGTTACCAAACTGATCCCTGTTTGTTTTGGGATCGTAGACTCTAACCACTCCACTGGCCAGTTTCTCTGCTTCCCGAGCGGCTCTTGCCTCCATCTCATCAAGTAGTGCTTTGTCCCTCTTGCACTCCGGGTTGAGCGATGTCACTCCGGTTAGTGCTTTAACAGCCTCTGCAATCTTCCGGTTAGATCTTCTTTGGAGAAGACCTTTAATTTCGTCGTGTGTTTGGTGAGCAACTGTCAAGTGGGTCCTTTCTAACTTGCTTCCAGGCTCCAGACCGGGCACTGCTGGTGGGGGTCCATTCATAGCTACAAACGAAACAGATCAAAAATTAATAAGGGCGTAAAAGGGTGAAAACAAACTAGACAAGGCCTTCCATCTTAAAGAAACGTACCTTCATGGAATATGGAGAGATGAGCCTTTTCGGTCTGCTCATTATATTCAAAATTAAGAGCGTTTATCAGTTTGGCCTTCACTCTAGGTCCATTAACAACCCTCTTCTCACGACGGTTGCGCCTCATGCGCTTACTCCTTAAACTTTTTCCCATTTTTGCTGATTAAAGAGGGAAACCTACAACAAAATAGTTTCAAAAAAACAGGGTTAGTACGGCACAAATTACATCGTATCCTTTTGAACAAGACCCTCCAATATGACATTTCACAGTAAGGAAAAGGTAAAAATAAACAATAGATACAAAATAAAATAATGATTCTTGTTTAATTTGTCAAATTAGACATGAACTACGCACAACCTATCGAGAGGTTAGAGTAAACTAACCCTTCGCAAATAGATTGCGCATTATGTACCATACAAAGAAACTTGATTTTGAAGGTGAAAGATCCTAGCCATTTACTGATATTCATGGCAATCACAGTGACTTACCCAAAATATAAATTGCACGATATTTGGGTGAGTCCACGTGCACGCAATCAAAACACACGACAACAGGAAGACAGACGGCGCTAGAAGTACCTAAACTCGGAGCCAGAGTTGGAGTAAGTCCGTCAAGCCGCCACCAGGGAGCGCTCCGGTCGTCACTCGTCGCCACCGCCCAGTCGCCACGGAGCGCCACGGGAGCGCTCGCGTCGCCACGCAAGCCACGAGCCCCAGCCCCAAGTCCCGAGTCGCCACTCCTGGGCTACGAGGGCTTTCGGCGGGAAATCCGAAAATTGCCGCCCAGCACTGACCTGGGTCCTGCAGGACACTTTTGGAATAGGAAACGTTCAAGGATCATCATTTATCTCAAAAGAGATGTCTCGTCATCGCCGTCCGGGAAATCTTGTGGCTGTTGCCGGCGTCTGGAGTAGCGACGAGGTCCGACAGATGGCGCTAGCTCGCGGGGAAGTCGCCATTAGTTCCACAAGTCTCCACCGAGCGCGCCACCATCCACTCAAACAGAGGCGCGGCGCAAAATTCGAACAAACCGAGGACTTTTTGAAAGATAGCGAGCGGTGCTGTAGGAACTTGGATTTTACGTCGTATTTCGGGCAACGCGATGTGGTGGTGAAATATTACCTTATTTCAGTGGCAAAAAAATAAAAGTGTGTGAGCGGAGCACACAAGGCGGTAGTTGCTGGAAGCTACTTCCAAGAGGTCTAGGCCATGGTGCCATGGTTGCAGCCAATGAGGGAGAAATTCTCGTTCGCCTCGACCAAATGGCGGCCAGGCGCAGCACTGCAGCAGCCAGGCGGCCACACCGGGTCGACCTTGGAAGACGATAGCCGCGTGAGCAATGCGATATCAGGTGGCCGTATCGACGGGCAGCCCTGCCGGGCCGAACGCACGGACGCAGCACCATTCATAGCAGGGCACAAGCCTGGGGCACAATGTCATAAGAGCGGTCGCCCTTTCCCTATGTTTGCAATCATTGTGTGAAGATGGTGGGATGAGTAGGATTTCTGCTGAATTTGTCACTCATTTTGGGATTTTGAGTACTGGCATACATTTTTGACGCCCTACCCATGTTGAAGAATGCATGGGATAGTAAGGCGGTGCTCTTTCTCTGCAGGTGTCTCTCGGAACGCGCGGTGCAGCAGGTGCAGCAGGTGCAGCGGGTGCAGAGGGTACAGCACCCCACCCACCGGCCCCACCGGCCTCCATGTGGGAATTCCCTACTAACCGACACCGCGCCGCACCGCGCTGCCTGCGGACTGATTCCGAATGTCTCTTTCGCCGCTCCGATTCACTCTCCGCCCCCCTCGCACTCGTACGGCTGCCCTCGGGTGCGAGAGAGACAGAGAGAGACAGACTGGCAAGACAACAGTGCGCGGAACCACCCCGGGCCGCTACCCCATTACCCTCCACAGCCCGACGCCTATTTTTCTAATGCACAAAGTTGGGGCGTAATGTGCAAAGTTGTGGCGCCGCGGTCGCCAGGACGGCTCTGTTTACTCCGTTTGTTTACGTGCCGCGGGGCCTTTGATTCCTTTGGGGTGCCGCTGGTGGATGTGGTAGGCCTTGGTAGCCTTTGGTAGGCGTTGGTAGCCGTTAGTAGCCAGTGGCACCCTTTAGTTGGCGGCTTTTGATGGCCGTGGGTGGCTCGCAGACTTATTGCGAGAGTCGTTTTCGTCGCTCTGTCTCTCTCGCACCTACAGGAGACGTTCCATCAGTGCGAGAGAGACAGAGCGACGAAAACGACTCTGGGAATCAGTGTGCCGGCCGCGCCACCCCACGCCGCGACGCGGTCTCCGCCACCTGCCATTCCGTTCCATTCGGTTGTCGCGGCGAGGTGCGTGTGCGTGTCCGCGGCCTGCTGGAGGCCGAGACCGTCCCGGTGGACGTCGTCGCCGTCGTCGCCGTCGTCGCCGCGGCAGTCCAGGTCAGTGCGTTTGGAGGTCGAGACTCGACGTCGTCGCCCTGGCTGTCTTGGCGTACAGTGTACGCGGGGCGGGCCCACTAGGAACGGCCCCCGTGTTTGCGCGCGCCGCGCTCGCGCCGCACGCACGGTCTGTGCGGGTGTGTGTTTGCCCGGGCAAGCGATGCCGAAGGCCCGACGGATCGCTTCGTCGCTCTCTGTCGCACTCATGGGGCGTCCCGTAGGGGCGGGGCGTGAGAAAGAGAGTGAGAGAGTGAGGCACCAGCGCACCAGTGCCCGGCGGCAGCGTTCAAAAGGACGATGATGCAACGGCGCGGTGCTGGGACACCCAGGACACCGCGGTGGGACCACTCGGGGACCGGTCGAGGAAAATTCGCGCATCATCGTGCTTTTGGCGTTGTAAAAATCCAGCCCAAGAGGAAGAAAGCGGCAAAAACTTCCACAATGCACCGGTGTCGAAAGGGTCGCCAACCTCAGCCTGCCTACAGGGAGCCAACTTGCCGATGACAGGGTCAAGCTGCCATGCGATTTTTAAAAACCACGGCATGACGTTTGGCCAGAATCGTCTTAGAAATAGAGTGTCCTATCAGCACCCCAACTGACACACGGCAGGATGAAGTAAGCAACCCATTCGAGCATGGAGGATAGCGTGGCAGTGTTTACCTTCTTTTGAGGCAGCACTGAGCAGGCCTCTCCGGCACTGTAAGTGTTTCATGCTTGCAATGTTGGCACCCCTGAAGACGCGCCGTCGCTCGCCGCCACGGCTTTCATGGTGTCGCGCCGAGCGACGCATCGGCCGCGTGTCCCGGAAACGGCACGACCGGCCCGCCGGCCTGCAGAGTCCTGCCGAGAGTCCTTTCCGTCGCTCTGTCTCTCTCGCACTCGTTGGGCGACCCTTGTAGGTGGGAGAGAGACTCTCGGAATGAGTCTGCCGGCGGGCTGGCGGTCGTTGGAGGCGGCGCGCCGGATGGGCCTTAATGCCCCTGGCCGTCAAGCTGGCCGTCAAGCTGGCCGTCCCGGTCGCCGTGTTTTGACGGCGCGCCTTCACACGCCGGGGGCCGGCGTGGCGGCAGGCAGATCGATCGCGCCGGGCGGCATGCTGGCCATCTGGCCGAGATAAGGCCACTCTTGTCCTGCTGCAGCACGCTGGCGGCACGCTGGCGGAGTGGACTGCGTGCACTGCGAGTGCGCGGCCTGGACCCGCCAGCCGGGCCGACGACCGAAGTGCCGTCATCAACGTTGTCTCAAACGGCGGCCTGCAGACCGATCCCGAGGGCCGTTTTCGTCGCTCTGTCTCTCTCGCACTCTTGGGACACCCCGTACGGGTGCGAGAGAGACAGAGCGGCGAATCTGGGAATGAGTCCGCAGGTCGCCGCGGTCGGTGCACGCCATGCACCACGCCTGCACACACGCGCGGCGCCGCGGCGCGGGCTGGTGGTGCCTGGCGGCGCGGCCCGCATGGGTGGCGTGTGGATTCGGATGGGAATAATGGCAAATTGACGAGCCAAGTCACAAAAGCGCACAGCAACACGGGGCGTGGCGGCGGGCCGGGGCGGGCCGGTCACGAGAGACACGGGCTGCCTGACTCCGCGACCTTCACCTTGGCCTCGCGCCTCGCCCTCGCCACGGCCACGGCCGAGGTTGGGCTATCCCCGGCCCTCCGCGGCTATCCCCCACTGCCACCGGCAGAGCGGTTCCACGCGGCGGTTTGTCGCGGCGTCTCTCTCGCACCCCCACTGGACGCCCCATGAGTGCGAGAGAGACGCCGCGACCAGCAGTGCCACCGCGCGGCCTTCGTGTCCTCCGTGATGGATGCTGCCGGGGGTGTTCAAGGCGGCCAGTCGCCCGATTTCAAGGGATCGCCTTCGTCGCTCTGTCTCTGTCGCACTCATGGGGCGTCCCCTGAGGGTGCGAGAGAGACAGCGCGAGGAAACGATCTATCCGAATCGGGCGGCAGGTGCGCGCCAGAGGGCCGGCCGCAGTGCACGCGAAGGACCGCTCTGTTTCTGTGTCGACGGCGAGGTCGCGGGTCGGCGTGGCGGCGGCTTGGCGGCCACGCGCCGTGTTGGACACGCCGCGATAAGGAGCCGATAAGCCGAATAACGAGCCGATCAGCGTACGCGCCGGCCGCGGCAGACTCATTCCGAGAGTCGCTTACGCCGTCGCTCTGTCTCTCTCGCACCTATACGGGACGCCTCATGAGTGCGAGAGGGGCCGAGCGACGAAAACGACTCTCGGAATGAGTCTGCGGCGCGCCGGCGGTCGTGGCGGCCCAAGGACGCGGTGACAGCCTCTCGGGGTGCGCGTTCACGGCGTTCACGGCGTTCACGGTGGTGGCGGTGACGCAGCGGTCGAGCGTAGGCGTGGATCCAGCTGGCGGGCCGAAGGACATTGAAACTCCTTAGCCCTGACCCCGAGGAAGCCGCCAGGAAGGGTAGACATAAAGCCACACTTTGCCCTGTGCGTAGGCAAAATGTGCTACATTGTCCCTTACCACCATCATCATCATCATCAGCGATGTTAGGCGTCAAAACTCTGGATCCGCCTCTGGGGGGAGCGCCTGCAGAGCGCGCGCGGCCGTCCCGTCGAGCGTGCGAGTGCGGCGGGCCTGCCTACCTCCGCGGCGCCCGGCCCGCACTTCACGCCGCCGCCACATGCTGGCGCGTCGTCCGAAATTCTCAACACAGCGTTGTTTGAGTTTTTGCCTGGCATGCCGGAGAAGATGCAACCCGGTGTCTTTTCGCCCACTTTTATGGCCGCTGAGCTCGCGGCATCGCGGCACTCGCGTGACGGCGGGCCGGGACTCGCAGATACAGATCGATCTCGCGGTGATGTGTTGTCTGTCGGTCGGCGGCAGCGCGGCAACAGGAAGGGCGCGCGGCCGTTTCGCCACCGCCACGCCCTTCGCGCCCTGGCCGAGGCCCTGGCCGAGGCCTGGCACACTGATGCCGGCGCGGTTCTCACGCCCTTTGCCGCCACGGCCGCGTCTTCGCCTCGCCGGGGCAACCCTGCTGAATTATACAAGCAGCAACAGACTGAGTCCAAGAGTCGCTCTGTCTCTCTCGCACTCAAGGGGCGTCCCGTACAGGTGCGAGAGAGACAGAGCGACGAAAACGACTCTCGGACTCTCGGACCGCGCGGGCCAGTCAGTCGAGCTGAGGGAATGGGAGGCCCCGAGGTGGAGGGGGAGGGGAAGTGTGCTTATTGCAGGCAGAAGGGCTGGTGT